GTAATGAAAAACAAAAAGATATATATTGAGATTTAGAACTAGCTAAGGATACTATTACAAAGATTATAGTGGATATAAAACATGGAGAAGTGGCAATAGGAAAATCAACTTCAAATTCTACAGAAATAGTCTTACCAGAAGAAGAGCTTAGAGAAATCATTATCAAACTTCAAGAAATAATAATCAAATTAGACAATAAAAGGTGCATTACAATTGAAGATATGGAAAAACATCCAGATAAACATAAATCAGGTAAATCAATCCCATTGACTATCACAGCACCTTACAAACTTCTATGACTAATATTGACGAACAAATCAATAAATTAAATGATTTACTAGCCGCAATTACTATTGAATCTGCACCAGAGATAGAAGAAAATATCGAAAATGATAAAATAATCTTTGACTATAGTAGCAACGAAAACCCCTATAAAAATTATACAAATACAAATTATACAAAAACTGAAACTGAGGATCAACCTGAAACATCACGAAATCGTGATTTCAATAACTATAAAGATGGTCAACTATTTTTTTATGAATACTTATACAAAAAATCGTATACACCTCACAAAGAGGGAGGATGGAGTAAAATACCTCAATCTTACATACCAAACTATTCCACCACCAGTTTTAACAGTCATGACATTTTAGACCTTGACTGTTGCATCAATCCATTAAAACTATTAGAAGACTGGAAAAATCGAACGAGTTTATTAATACAAACTAACGAAGATCTAAAAAAATTACAACCTAGCAAAATGTTTAATTTCTTAATATATAAAACAACTGGGGCAGTTTATCATTATGTCAACAACATGGATATTCCAGCTAAGACACTATTATATGGAACAGCAGATGCTACAAATACCTTTGAAAAGGTTTTAAATTCAATAACTTATGAATTCTTAGGACGACATCCTCGGAATAATAAACCAAACACAACCATAAGTCAACAAGCTATTTGGCATTTAACTAACCTTAAAATCTGCAACATGTGCTTTTTAGAACCATTTATTTGTGAATTCATAACACACTATTATCAAGTTACCCCTTCAATAAGAAAAGACCTAGATAAATTACTCTATGCCAAATTACCACCTATTCTCTCCGAAAAAGTCGAAGCTATCTTTAATGAGTCTTTGTCAAAAGGAGAAATACCAGATACATTAGGAGGAAGAATATTAGGTTTACAAGAATGGCATAAAAGAGCTTGTAATGAAGAAAAATTAAAGAAACAAGCTAAAATTAAACTTTCTTGTGAAGAAACAATGGATAGAGTCGGAAAATATGGGTGTAATAACGATCTAAAGATTAGTAAAACTTGTAAAAAATATAGAGATTATAGAAAATTGAGAAAAATACCTTATAAAGAATATAGAAAAAATAGGTTTAAAAAACCAAGTAAATATTTCAGAAATAGAAAACAATTTAAACAAAAAAACAAAACAACAAGAATACTGTCCTAAAGGAAAGACAAATTGTAGATGTGGTTATGTAATGAAGAGGGACCTTACGCAAATAAATGTACTAAGAAAAATACTAATACTAGAAAGCAAGAAGTCCTTAGATTAGCATACGATTGTGGTTTTGAACCAATCGAAGAAATAGATTTTGAACTTTCTGATGTAGAAATTATTGAATATATTTCAGACTCAGAGACCTCTTCAAATGAGTCAGAAGAAGGTACTAACTAAGGAATATCCTAATGCAACATTTATTAAAATTGAAATAGAAAAGAAAAGCTTTTTAGCATACATTGATACATGAGCAACCCTATGTTTTGCCAAATAATCAACCATAAAAAAATGGGATAGACTTGAAAAACCTCTAAAAATTGTAGTAGCAGATAAATCTACTCATGAAATCTGGTATGTAAAACAATATGTACCGATAATCATTGAAAAACATTTCTTTACAGCCAAAACAATCTATCAACATGACTCAGGATTATATATAATAATAGGAAATACCTTTCTAAAATTATATCAACCGTTCATCCAAAAGATTAAAACAATTAGCCTTAGATGTCCTAAAACAATAAACCAGGAATCTAAGATAATCACAACCAGAATAATTACAAAAAACGAAGTATTAAAATTGTACTTCAAACCCTCAAAAATAGACTAGAATACGTACAAATTACCTATGTCGCAACTGCCCCCTTGGAATAGGGGGGCCATCGCGTCACGCTCGGAGTCGCCATCGATCGTATTATGTTGTTGATCGAACACCTTTGGTCCGGTCTCAACCTTAGCGCCGAAACCGAAATTTGGTCTTTGGATGCTTGTTGATGATTCTGCTCCCTTCTGTACCCTTCTTGCTGCTGCCCTCTGCTTCTTTTGCTGCCGTTTCCTTTCTTTTTAGCTTTACTATCTTCCTTTTTTTTCTTCTTGGATTCTGCCTTTGTGTGTTCGAGAAAAGGGAAAGTGGTTTCTTGCTGTTATTCTTGTACCAGCAACCCAGAAGAAAAAAAGAGGGACTAATGAAGTTTCTTTTTTCTGCAGAGTTTTCTTTGAGGAAGAGGAGCCGAGGAAGGAGAAGAAGAAGCCAAAAGTCTCCCTTTTTGTTCTACTGCTTGTGAGTTGTGAGAAGGAAAAGAGATCTGAAAGAAGAGAGGCTGTCTCTTTGTTTTTTTTCTGTTCTGTTTATTCAGAGGGGGGAAGGAAGTCTTCCTCTATTTTTTCTGCCCCGCCCCTTTGAAGAAGAAGGAGCAGATTTTTTATAGATAAGGGAAGCTTGTTCCCCAAGCTTGCAACACCAATTGTTTGGGTCAGACCGGTCACGGTTTGGGTCAGACCGATCTGGATTTGGTCAGACTTGACCGGGTTGATTGACTTGACTTTTGTTGATTGAATTGACCAGTTGACTTTGACTTTAGATTTTGATTTGGGCCTATATTTTCTGATTGTAATTATTGTAATGTTTTTTATTTAGCTAAGTGTGTAATTATTGTTTAATGAGAAAAACAAACAATTTCATTCATCTTTCCCCAAATCGAGCCCCAAATTCTCGCAAGTCTAATGCCTAAAAGCAACTCATTAGTTACAATTTTTGTTTAACAAAACCAACATTCTCAAATCGTATAAATCAAGACTCATGATTCAAATTATATTTCATTAGATGTGATCTCTAGTTGTAGATTTGCTATTGTAAATCTTGTCAATTCACGAACTAATACACTCTCCTTCAGCGCCTCAAATATGGTTTTAATCGGAAATGGCCTCAAACTAAGATCTCTCTAATTAGTTATATGTTTCTACCCGGACAAAATGTGGTGTCTACAGGTATAATAGAGGAAACTTTAACCAGGTGTGTAGTGAACATCCTTTAGATAAAGATAAAAATAACAATCAGGAACATATTGAAATTAAACTAAAAGATCCTAAAACGGAAATTAATGTCCCAAACAAAATTCAATACACTGAACGAGATGTGGAAGAATTTCAAAAGGAATGTTCAGAATTAGTAGAAAGGGGTATAATACGAAAAAGCAAAAGCCCTCATAGTGCACCAGCCTTCTATGTAGAAAATAATAATGAAATCAAAAGAGGAAAAGAAGAATGGTAATAAACTATAAAAAACTAAACGAATAAACAATATGAGATAGCTATAAATTACCTAGGAAAGACTATATACTAGAAAGATTAAAAGGTCAGACTTGGTTTAGTAGTTTAGATGCTAAATCAAGATATTGGAAACTTCATCTACATGAGAATACCAAACCTTTAACAGCCTTTTCATGTCCACCACAAAAACATTACGAATGGAATGTTCTCCCATTTGGAATGATACAAGCACCAGCTATTTACCAACTGTTTATGGATCATATCTTGACGGTTTTCAATCGTTTTGTTTAGCATACATCGATGATATCATAATTCATACTAACCAATCGGAGGAAGATCATCGCGAAAAAGTCTTAATAGTTTTACAATGAATAAAAGAAAAAGGTCTAATTATTTCAAAGAAAAAATCAAAACTTCTTCAAAAAGAAATTAAATACCTTGGTATGAAGATTAATAATTTCGGCGAAATTGAGTTGTCAACAAACACAAAAGAAAAGATTGATAAATTTCCTAACCAACTTGAAAATAGAAAACAAATTCAACGTTTTCTTGGATGTTTAAATTATATTAGTGAACAAGGATTTTTAAAAGATTTAGCAAAAGGAAGAAAACACTTACAGAAAAAGATTTCCAACAAAATTCCTTGGTCATGGAATGATTAAGATACAACAATAGTTTTATTAATGAAGGAAAAATGTCAGCATTTACCAAAATTATATAACACTTGTGAAAAAGATTTTCTAATAATTCAGAGAGATGCCTCTAAGGATACTTGGGCAGGGTGCATGTTAGCAATACAAATGGCAAAGAATTATTACAAATGGATAATTTTGGTAATATTAAAATTAAAAGTGATGAGGCTACTATCTATGGACGAGAGCCTAAAGATTATCAGTCTACGGACAAAATTATTGGACCTTCGGATTCTCAATTATCAGTTCCTTTCAACAGTGATAAATATTCAAAGAAATTATGTAAATATATTTCTGGAACATTTACCGCCACTGAACAGAACTATCTGATCCATGAATTAGAGACACTAGCTTGTCTCCGAACACTGAAAAAATGGAAGCTTGAATTATTATCCAAATCAAGAAACAGCTGTGCAATGCACTTAATATCTATGAGGACCATTTCTGTGAGTGGTGTGCATCAACTGACAAAGCCATCAATGGACCAGCAGACCAAGACTGAAAGAAGCATGTGAAGAAAGAGGAATCAAACAAATATGGGATAAAACGACAAGAAAAGGTTGGCCGACTCCTTTAAAAAAGTCGTGCATTATTGTACTCTATCAGCTTTTCTTATCGTTTTAAGTGTTTTCTTTTGACATGTTAGCTTTACGTCCCTGTCTAACAGACGTAAGCAATGATGTCTTTGTATTTCCTCTGAGCTCTATACAAGAGCAAGAGTTTGCAATGAAATAAGTAGAACGAGTTTGGCCATAAAAATTGCATATTTACTCTCTCCCTCTAGCTTGCTAGCTGTAAGGCTTGGATCCACTGATCCTGGAGGCCACAACCACCTTCAATATAATCAAACGTACGGAGCCCAGCTACAATCATCAAGCGATCAACAAAAAACTCAGAGTCTCCTCAAGAAAACAAGTCAGGTATGTCTAATAATCCTACCTCAAGTTATTTTGATTACTTGGACAAAAACGATGACGAAAACTACTTCTTAGATGGTGTTATAGACATAAGAAAATTAGAGAAAAACTAATTTTACTATTTCGGAAACTCAAAACTTTATCACTAAGTCTTTTTTATCAAAACTCTTTGATAGAGAAAACATTATTAAATACGATAAAATGATAGGTGAAGTAGTAGTCCCTATTGATCAAACTAAGGGCGATTTTCTGATCCAAGTAATAAATAAAGAACGGGTTAAAGACACATTTGGTCACTGAGATTACTAAATCGGGACATGTTTAGTCACTAAAAAAAGTTAATATCAAATTTGGTCACTATAATTACTAAAACATGACACATTTACTCACTCGCCGTTAGTTGTCATCCAACTCCGTTAAAAGAGTCCGTTATGTGCTAACATGGCTAACAGAATCGCCTAGTCAGCATTGTTTTGGACCAGATATGATCAAACCCGACCCGCCACATCACTAAACCCGCCACGTCATTTGGGTTAGTGACTAACTTTTTAGGGTTAGTGACATTTTCAGACCCGAAACCCTTCTCCTTCCTCCCGAAGCTCTGCTCCTTCAATTTCATCTACCATTTTCGATAGAACACATCAGAGAGCAAAGAGAGATGCAGCCAGCCACTCTACCCCTTGACCCCCTTGTCCCATATGCTTCGTCGAAGTCGACTTCTTCTTCGTCGCACGCCGGCTTCAGTTCCCCCATCGCAGCAGACAAAGAAACCCTAAGATCCAGCTGCGAATCCGCTCTGTACTTCTTCTTCTTCGTCGTGCTTCCCCCATCACAGCAGTGGACGAAACCCTAAATCGATTCCCCCATCGCGCTGACGTCAGTTTCCCGTCTCTTGTAATTGTCCTGGTAGAGGCACTGACCGGAGCGGCAGGATGAGACGTCGAGGGTGGCACACTCCGGTGAGCTGCAGAAGAGCAGGGAGTAGGAGGAGGAAGGCCGGTTGAAGATCAGGTCTGTTTTCTTAGCCAGGCCCGGGAGAAGTACTCCCCGCTGCCCTGGTTTGCCCGGATGTGACGGAAGTCGATAAATCGGACTGAGAAAGGAAATGGGGGGAGTCGGAATCGAGTAGAGGGGTGAGGTCGGAGTAAGAGAGGAGGAGCTTGGCGGAGATGGACGGGGCAGAGTCGCGGCGGAGCCTAGCAGAGGTGAGAGGTTTGTAGTCCGGGTGGTTGGATCTGACGACCGATCATCTTGAGAGGACGTCGAGGGATGATGGGGGGAGACGTTGAGCTTGATGGGGGAAGAAGAAGCTTGTTCTTCGGGTTCTTGTTCGGTGAAGGTAGTGGATTGATGGTCGAAGGAGAGGATGTGGTGAGCTTGGTGGAGTGAAACGGAAGGGGCGGATTTGCCGGCGATGTGAAATGGAATGGAGAGAAGTGGAGAGACGTGGTAGAGATGGAGAATGGGGTCGGGTTTGGTTATGGGTCCGGTTGGGTTAGTGGATTGGGTTGGAACAATGAAGTGGCGGGTTTAGTGATGTGGCGGGTCGGGTTTGATCATATCTGGTCCAAAACAATGCTGACTAGGCGATTCTGTTAGCCATGTTAGCACATAACGGACTCTTTTAACGGAGTTGGACGGCAACTAACGGCGAGTGACTAAATGTGTCCTGTTTTAGTAATTATAGTGACCAAATTTGATATTAACTTTTTTTAGTGACTAAACATGTCCCGATTTAGTAATGTCAGTGACCAAATGTGTCTTTAACCCAATAAAGAACAGATTAGAAAAAGATTAGCTAAACTAAGATTAGAAGAACGAAATAAAATAGCTTATATTCATATTAGTACAATTCAAATTATATTAAAATCAACCATGAAAATAGGAATTGGCGCACCCATGGAATTAGAAATTCGTGATGACAGACTAGTTAACGAAGAAGAAAGCATTATTGCCAAAGGAACGTGAAATTTAGGAGTAGGAATAATTAAATTTGATATTAACCTACAACAAGGATTGAGTCTGGCAGATGGTAACCTTGACTCTTCTATCATTATAAAATATGAATTAAAAAGAGAAAATTTTATGAAATAAAATAGCAAACCATTTTCAGTAACTTGTCAAATAAACTATGCGTTAACAAATAGTCACCACAGTTTAACCTTCAAAAATAAAGAAGTAATCAATATAGAGGATTTATTTAAACCCTTAATCCAATTAGAAGCACCACTAAAGACCGTTAAAATAGAACCTAGCTGACCATCGATAAACCCAAGACCAAAGACGGATGATTAGAACACAATCAGAGAGGATTAGGCATATCCCAGTAATTGAACAAAATCTAGAATGAGAAGAGATAACCAATAATCAAGTAATAAATAAGTTGGAAAAATTGCAGCATTCAATAACAAATCTAGAAAATAAAATCTAACAACTATAAATATATACATAGATATACTAGTATCTATAAAATAAATATGCCTACTACTTATCATATAAACAAATTAATTGAAGGAATAGATGCTATAAATCTCACCTCAATAAATTATATCAGTGAAGTCACACGTGAACTAACTTACTTTGCCTCAGAAATTGTAGAGGAGCAAATTAGTATTGGAACCACAGAAACATTAGAAGAAGCTATCTCTAAAACTGAATTAATTACTGATATAATAACCAGCCTAAATAAAGTAAAACAAAGATTATTAAATCAGTAAATTTTAATAAGGTAATTAATGTTTGCAATTAATGTTTAATAAGGTAATTAATGAAAGCAAAAATGTTTGGTATCAGAGCCCTAGAAGACTACTTTTGTCCACACTTTTCATTTGCACATATCTCTTGTCTCTTTTTCTTATTTCTCACGAGATATTGAGCTCCACTAAAAGAACTTTGGAATTTTAGAATATAAAATTTTTAGGTGCTTGTGGCACTTGAAGTGCCAAGAGACAGCTCTCAAATATATATATAACTCATGTGTCACCCTAGCCTACTGCTGACTTTTTCTAACTCATGCATGACATTCATCCTCTCCTCTTTGAATATCTTTAAAATATCACTCAAGATTGTATTTATACATACCATTTGAAACAACGGCGGAAGAGAATACACAAATCTCCTAAAACCAATATAATCAACAACCGATGGAGGAAATTCCTGAAGAACGATCGTACAAGCAAACTCCCTTCTACTAGTTTCTTGGTAAAAAACAACAGGACTCGAACTCTCAGTACCGATTTTTCTTTTCTTGTTACCAAAAAGTCCACTAACCATGACTGGATCAACATTTTTACTGGACATTTCAACAAATGATTGCGCAAATGAAAAGTTCCAGAAGTGGATGTATCAACAAGCTTTCTATGACAGTATTTGCATTAAGCTTTTCTCAACCCTCTAACTACAACTCGATCATATTCCTTCCACATCTCACACCACTGCTTCTCAGAAGACCATACCATACGACTAGCAGACACACTAGACTGGCCATGATTACTACTCTCGTGATTCAAAGATGGACTATCATCATTACTTTCTAAGGCCATGTTTCCCTAGAAAAATCAAGTAATCACTCGGGCAACAATACAATCATTTAACCAAATAATGATTAAAAATTAATCTTTCGAATAGAGACAACAATAAATATCCCAATCATTCACCAACTAAAAGAGACAATAAACAACTCAATCATTGATCACCAACTAACAGTTTAATGAGACCCAATTCAAAGCTAATAGAAAGCATTGCCTACTTGAAAAGAATCTCTACTTGGATTACCTTCTCTCTTTCAGAAACGTGTTGGTCTCAGATCGACTGTCGGAGTAGGTTTTTGGTATCTCTGGTGAGTCGCAAAATCGGAGTGCGTTTTTGGTATCACTGGACAGCAATGCGGTCCAGCGGGTCGGAGGGGATGCCAAGATTGGAGGTAGTCGGGGCGGCGACGTTCAAGCTAGTGGTAGTGGCCGCGACGCTGACGTCGTGCCGTCCCTATTAGCTCAGTTGTCTCCTCCGTTGACGGAGGATGGGTAGAGAGACAGAGAGAATGTCGACTCTCAAGTGAGAGCACTGAGAGGAAGCGAAGAGAGAGAACGTAGAGATTTTGATTTATTTTTTCGTTTTTTTTTTTAATTATTTGGGTTTGTATTTTTTTTTTTTTTATCCATGTAAACTAAACATAAACATGGGTATTGACCCATCTAACTTTATCCATTTACATTTTATTTGGATTTCAGATCCAACCCAAATAAGTTGGATAGTTATAAACCCTGGGTATGAGTAAAGTTGTCAAGCCTAACTTTGATATCTACTCGGCTAAATTTGTCTCTCTTCTATGTCATCATATTTTCCCGACCGGCCTTTCAACTTTGGCCACCTTTTCTAACCAGCGGACTTGCATAATACTCCGGTGATCCCTATGTCGACGTTGTGGATTGCCACTCCGACTTGTAGTACAGCGCTAGAGTTTAGAAAGATGGTGCTTGTTTTTCTTTTCAAGTTACGTCTTATCTTCGAGCCATTTTAACAAACCCAATGAATTGATCTTCGTAAATATTTCCCAAAAGGGAATGACCTACGTTTCCATATACTAGACCTACTTCCATTGGCTTCTACTCCATATTATTTTCCCGTTAATTATTGTAAGTAATTACTATTATTTTTCCCTAGTACCAGGCACAATGCTGGATTAGAAAGGGCGAAAAGGGACATAATGCTGGAACCCTAACCATAGACGGCATACTATCTATGGATTAGTGTGAATACTCCAACTCTATAAAATGAGTCTATATGGGGCTAGAAAGTTAACCAACCAGCCTCAAAAACACACAGAAAGCAACAGGAAAGAAAATGGGATCACTATTATCAGCCCTCATTATTATTTTCTCAGCATCGCTACTTTTGCCCATGATTGTTCATACCACGGCGGCACGACCAATCTTCATCTTCGACTACCTTTGCAACCCGGACGTGTTCGACGACGGCGATGATCCCCAGCTCCAGTGCGTGGATGACCTGCTAGACACCCTGATGACCAGCGGCTCTACCGATGATGGCAAGCTGTACATAAAGAACGATTGCGATGGCTTGCCTGTTTACGGTTATAGGTGGATGGATGCAGATCAAGCCAAGGCTACTGAATGTCTCAAGCAAGCTAAGGATGTTATCAAGGATACATGCTATCACCGCAAAGGGGCTCGAGTCTCTAACAGTGCTACCTGTCAAATGAGGTTTGAGCTATCTCCCTTTCAGCCAGGGGTTTGACCCTCTCGGCCTTGGTTTAAGGAGCGCGACGCAAACTAATTAAGAGGTAATTAACATAAGAATAAGCCTTAAATCAAATACTGCAACATATGTATTTTATGCTTCAATGTGTAAGATTATCTGCCTTATAGCAGGTTCCAATGAATAAAAAAAATAAAAAAGGAAGATTATCGGACTTTAATTTATTGTCTCTTATTTTAATTCATACCTCAAATGCTATAACTGGACCAATGGCAAGGCTAGAGATGACTGCAATGTTTCAGTCCTCGGTTACAGCAATAGGACTGTCAAACCGGGGTGCTCAATTAGTACGATATTGTCCACTTTGGGTCAAGCCCGCACGGTTTTACTTTTGGGTATCCTCCACAAAAAGCCTCATACTAATTGGGCTAGGCGGACACTTATATACAAGGGTTCCTTCCCTTGTATTACCGATGTGGTACTTGGATTGTCTCATAACAATCATCTCCTCAAGACAAGGACCACGAACTTTGTGTCCTCACCTCAGCAATTATCTTGATCCGCCATACACCTTGTATCGATGGGCTTCTCGGTACAAGGATTTTCTCAACCGCATAACTCTTTTTGATCTGCTTCCCAAATGCGGAACTCTCTTTGATCCGCCAAGCCCAAACGTGAGAGCATCTGCTAGTTGATGTGTCGTGGATATGTACTAAACACGTGGGCGCCCTGCCTGAACAAGCTGACAAGCGAAGCGATAGTCTAATGCCAAGTGCTTCATCCTCCAATGAAAAACTGGTAGAGGCATCAACGAAACCCGGAGTTCAGTGAGAAGATTCTGAACCCATTCGAGCTCGGCAGCGGCATGTGCAATAGCTGGATATTTTGCTTCTGTGCTAGAATGCGCAACGGTCAGATGCTTCTCAGAACGCCAAGAGATCAAGGTGGACCCGAAATAGATAAGATAGCCACAGGTGTGATATGATCCCAAATTGCTTGCAATTGAAGTTTCCGTGGATTGATAAAGAAGCTAGCTCGATTGGGAAGAAGGAGCTTGAAAATTGATTAAGTCTTTTGTTTGTTTTAAATAACTTACTTTGCACGTCTAGCTCTCAAAAAATGGCTCGATGAAAATTCAAGAAGAAGGTTGGAAGTTGAAGGACAAATGTTTATCTACAAGATGTAAGGATTAGTAGAGCCAAGCCAACCGTCATTAAGTACGTTCTCGTAGACTCTCAAAATCCTATGACAAAACCGGAAATCTACCTAGAAATGGCCAAGTATCGAACTGTGTTCGAGAATCCTACTTTGGAGCTCTGTTCGAGAAGGGTGGAGGAGAATCGAGTCCAGAAGGTTATGCCACATGAAATTACAAGTGTTATACTACAAGCTAAAGGAATTTGCTGAAGATTTGGAACTCATTTGAGTCTCAAACGAGACGTGTGAAGTTGCTATGCCGCCTGTGTGGTTTCTTGTATTGGAAGGCAGGAAATCTGTGTTCCATAAGGATTAGAGTTAGATCTAGTTTTCTTGTGAATTAGGATTACTTCAAGGCGTGTTTTACTTAGTTTACAGTTTGTAATTTTCCTACAAAAAGCTTAACTCGTTTTTGTACAAACAAGAATGGAATAGATCAACTTTTGCCCTAATTCTCAAGCTTGTGAGTTTTATTGGGTTTTGCTAGAGCTCCAAAACTTGTTGAATCTTGCTTATCAATCGAGAAATGCACTCAATTGTATCGAAAGCTTCCTTATAACGATTGTGCATTCTTCTAGGTGTAAGAATTCCTTATCGTTTTCATCTAAATTGTATTCAAACTAGCTTACCTGAACTCGTGTGAATTCTATTTTTGTTCTTGATCAATCCCTTTGATTGATTGAGACTGACTGCTCCATTCTGGTTCAATTGAGACCCTACTTGGGGCTCATCAAGGTGGAAGACCGATCATCATGATTTCCAGCCCAATCAGAATCAACAAAACAGACAAGGAGAAGGGAGCACGTGAGTGACGAATGGCAAGATCATATGTGAGAGTGCCAGAGACATAGCGAAGGAGCCGCTTAACACATTGCCAGTGGGAGGCCGTCAGAGCATGCATGTATTGAGAGGACTTATTGATGGAATAGGCAATTTCTGGCCTAGTATAGACAAGATACTGAAGTGCACCGATCACTTGATGGAAACGAGTTGCATCGGTGGGTGGTGTACCATCATCGAGAAGTAGGGAAGTGGAGGCGGCCATAAGTGTTTCAACAGCCTTGGCATCAGTCATCATGAACCGATTGACAATGTTAACCATATACTTGTGTTGAGACAAAATATAGCCAGTAGAGGTGGGAATAACCTCAATGCCCAAGAAGTAGTTGACATCACCAAGAGCCTTTAGAGATATCGACAAGATAAAGCCTGCTGGAAAGTGGAAAGGACGGCATGATCATTACCAGTGAGAAGCAAATCATCAACATATATAAGAAAATAGAGTAGAGTCTTCCCATGAGAATAAACAAAAAGAGAAGCATTAGAATGAGTTGTCTAAAAACCAAAGTCCTGCAGGAAAGCGCACAAGGTAGTGTACCAAGCTCGAGGAGCTTGACAAAGAACATAAATAGCTTTCTTGAGACAACAAATATGACGAGGAAAAGATGGATCAATGAATCCAAGAGGTTGAACAAGATAAACTTCCTCTTCGGGGGGCCTTGAAGAAAGTCATTGTTGAGATCGAATTGAGCAATAGACCAGCCATGAGATAGCGCCAAAGTGAATACAGTACGAACCGTGACCGATTTAACAACCGGGCTGAACGTATCATTGAAGTCAACTCGGGGCGTTGAAGAAAACCCTTGACCATGAGACGAGTATTGAAGCGCTCAGTAGACCCATCCGAATGATACTTAACCCGAAAGACCCACCGATTACCAAGAATATTATAGTGAGGAAGGCGAGGAACAAGATCCCAAGTGTTATTGGCCAATAAAGCAGAGTGCTCAGCAGAGAGGACGGTATTCCATTCCTGATAGCGTTGGGTCTCCTGGACAGTAAGTGGCTCAAGCAGCAGGGGCCCAAGAGAAAGCTTTTTATGGAATAATCTCTTTTTAGGTCAATAAATGCTATGTTAGGCCCGTGTTTCCATGTTGTGGGAGCGGAGCAGTGGGGTAGGCTGAGCTGGGGCGGTAGAGGGGCCCGATGGAGGAGTGTTGGGGGCTGGGGCAGAGCTGATGCCGAAGATGAGCCAGTGTGGATGGCCCACTAGTGGAAGGACCTTGAGGAGAGGCAACCGTGGAGGGGGAAGTGTGAGTCGAATGATGTGTTGGTGAGAACTGGACAGATTGTCATGGCAATGAAGTGATGGTGGGTGACATGTCACATAACCAGGACTCGGACGAGGAGAGAGCATCAAGACCCGCCGCATGAAAACCTGGAAATTGAGACTCAACAAAGACAACATGACTAGAGAGAAAATTTCGTTGAGTGGCTAGATCAAAACAACGATAAGCACTACGTTGAGGACAATACCCAATAAATAAACACGGGCGAGAATGGGGATCAAGTTTGTGAGAGGAATAAGGGCGACACTAAGGATAACAAAGACAACCAAAGATACACAGTATATGATAGTTAGGTAACAAATTGAAGAGGAGTGTGTATGGGACTTTACCACGTAGAGCTGAGGATGGGAGATGTTGATGAGATATATGGCGGTGGAAAAAACAAAAGACCAAAAATCTGTGGAAATTTTAGCACGATGAAGAAGAGTAATACCCGTTTCAACCAAGTGACGATGTTTGCGTTCAACGAGGCCATTGTGTTAAGCTGTATGTGATGGAGTAAGAAGATGAGTAATACCATTAGCACGTAAATCAGATCGTAATTTTTAGAATTGCCACCACCATCCGTGTAAAGCCTACGAATAGTGGTGGAAAAATAATTTTCAACCATTTTTCTAAAGGAAAGAAAAATTTGGAGAATGTCACATTTATTGTGTAAAGGATAATACCACGTATAGCGAGTAAAATGTAACCAGATAATAACAATATCCACTAATATGGGAACAAGTCATTTATTCCCCTTCTAGCCACATTTGCAAGCCCAATGTCACCCCAACTGGGTTCTAGTGACTAGGGATATCGCTATATCTCCTCTAAACGGGTTTCACCCGTCTGCACATGAGGTCCTCGAGTTGATGGTCACGCACTTGAGGACCAATCATTACCTAGGTGAGCTCCTAGTTGTCAGGGGATGGTCACCTCGTCCACCAACTAAGAGTTAGGATTGACTACCTAAGCTAAGAGAAGTCATTCACATATCCAGTTATAGACTACATTGACCTAGGCTAAAAATGTGGCATCCATATGTGACCCAGGCTAAAACTTGACATACATTCATTCATCCATCCTAAGCTCAGAAATACGCATTAGAAGTTATAGATAAACTCAAATTAACAATAAATTAACTACATCCATTCAATTACATCATACCCTAGTTAGGGTTTGAGGGGCCACAGTCGAATGTAGGGTTTGAGGGGCCACAATCGAAGTACATTCGATTACTATCTTATGAAAGGGGAGGACAACCATAAAAAGAAAGGTAGAAAAGATGAATTGGGGCTCCTTCTTGTGAAAAGAAACACATGTTTCTTCCCTTCTTCTCCTCTTCATCTCTAAGGCAACACCTTCTCTCTCTAACTCCTCTCTCTAAGATTTTGTAGATTTCAATGTCTCCTTAAATGAGGGAGCAACCCTCTATTTATAGAGATTCGGAGGGATGGGGCAGGTTTTCGGTTGCATTCAAAGATCGCGGTTGCAATCATAATCATCAGGCTGCGTTCTCGATCCTAAAGGCCCGTGAAATGGACCACGAGACTTTATATGCTAATGTCTGCATCTTTTCCAAGTTTGCGGCTCAGGAAATATAAAATTGCAGCCGTAAATTATGTGCCTTGATTGTAAACTCTTACCAGCCCTTGACATCTTGTATGTGAACTCTATCCCCTGGTCGTGATGCTCTATATACTTGAGTTAGGATTCTTTGACAAAAACCATTCAAAACCTGAAATGACACTCAAAATACAATCAAAACACAAAAGGAAGCATTTCTAGCCCAAATCAAAAATTAAATTTTCAATGAGTGTTCTTATCCATAAGAAAACATGCAAGAAATGAGGGCTATAAAATCTCATTTTAGGGGGTCTTTTGGATGAGGGTTTTCTAAAATGATGAATTTTAATAAAATCTCTCGTTTTAAAAAACTGAGGTTTTTTTACATGAGAAATTTCACTAAAATAATTTTTTGGGAGTAAATTCAGGATTTCAACCTAAAAATGAAAGTGCAAATTTGTTCTCCTTCCCATCTTCTTCGTCCTTTGTTTCGAAAATGAATTTGGTTAGTTATGGCAATGGCGCGGGAGGTTGGGATGGGTACCTCAATACACATACCCGTCCCACATAAAGCGAGGGTCGAGGAGGGTAATACCCGTGCGGGTATGGGCGGGACGTGTCGAAATTGAATAGTAGTGAGAATATAATTGGTAACTGAGTCTAACTAGTTGAAAGATCAAGTCTAACTATTTTAAGAAAAGTAAAAATAAAAGAATATGAATAGATATTGTGAGAAATTGATGGAAACCTACGGTTTCCATTATTATTATTGTTATGGTTATGGTTATTATTATTATTATTAAGGACAGTAGTCTTTGAGTCGTATTAGGATAGTTTATTAGGTTTTTCTAGTCTTTCGCTATAAATATGTAATTGGTCCTTCATTCATAATCAATAAGAAGAATATTAAGAAACTCTCACAAACCCTAATCTCCCAATCCTCTCAATTTTAGATCTCAATCCCTCTAAAGGCCTAGGCCGATTGTCTATCTTTCTCTTCTCAAATCCCTAATTATGTTATGGAATCCCTAATTCCCAATCTCACGACCAGATCTGATAGAACCCTAATCCCAGGTTATATCATTTGGTATAAGAGCCAGAATGAGCTTGTCACAGCTCTTCGATTCAGCATGTAATTGGTCCTTCATTCATAAATATGTAATTGGTCCTTCATTCATAATCAATAAGAAGAATATTAAGAAACTCTCACAAACCCTAATCTCCCAATCCTCTCAATTTTAGATCTCAATCCCTCTAAAGGCCTAGGCCGATTGTCTATCTTTCTCTTCTCAAATCCCTAATTATGTTATGGAATCCCTAATTCCCAATCTCACGACCAGATCTGATAGAACCCTAATCCCAGGTTATATCATTTGGTATAAGAGCCACAATGAGCTTGCTCTTCGATTCAGCATGCGATCGGCTAGACGCCCTCATACAACAAGCGCTCGCTCGCCGAACCCAAGAGGAATGAAGGTGGAAGGCGAATATAGAGGAGATCATGCGACTCCTAGACTCACGCGGCGAATCAAGCCATCCACCAACACCGTTGTAGCGTCATCTCCACCACCCGCGACAGAATTTCCGGCGTATTTCTCCCACCTGTAGTTGAAGAAGAAGATCAGGCGGCCACAACCACGCCACCACCTGCGAAGGACAAGACAATGAAGCCTGCAATCCCAAGCATCATCTCCACCAACGAGCAACCGGCAAGTGTCGCTGCTTTCCGCAAGATTGACGCCACTGAGCCAATATTTTCGTCGTTCGTCGTTGCTCTGGCAAACTCAGGAGCAAAAAGTCTTGTCAAGGATGGCTTGGAAGGGAGCAGTTTGTCGCAGCGGGGAAGGAAGGAGGTCGTCGACGGTGGGATCCTCTACGCGCAGAGGAAGAAGAAGAAGAAGTGGAAACCGGAGCTCGGAGTCGGAACCAATCGACGACTCCTTCACCCTCTCCTGTCTGGCGACCAAAGTATTTTGCCTCTCTCCATCGATGGACGATAGACAAAACGGAGGCGGGAAGTGGAAGTCGGAACGAGATGAAAATTGGGAATAAGACAAAAAAAAAATAGGAAACGAGACGAAACAGAGCATCAATTAAGAGGGAGTGGCCGGCGTTGGTGGTGATGACGATAATTGTAGTGAGATTCCCATCAAAATTGGGAGTCGAGCAGGAGTCGCCAGCGGAGAAGAATTGGGGATAAGACAAATGTGGGGGAAGAGAGAGAGAGATGCACGAGAGGGAAAGAGTTGGGCTAGGAATGAGATAATTGTGGAAAAGACAGAAAAATAATGAGGGATTGTGAAATAGCTGATCCCCATAAGTTATTTTGAAATCTCACATTTGTGAGTTTTTGATTGCCATGTTACTTATTTAATAGTCAACTATGAAAGTTGATAGTCACATAAGACAGTAATTGACGAAGTTGGACGACCAGTGGCAGTTGTAAAATTAAAATGTGAATTTAGTGACCAATAATGCAATTAAAATTTGTTTGTAGCAAACTTGAAACAAAATTGTAAATCCAGTGATCGAACGTGCTATTTACCCCTTATGTCTATAACAAAACTACTTATTTTTTGTTATATTGTGGGATAGTGTCTTACTCATAATATTTGCTTAATACTTTCTATGAAGATTCTCAACCGGTCACCAGCAATGTTATATCGAGAAAGTCTTCACATTCTAAAGCATGAGCATTTCTAGTGAAAGTTGTTTCTCTCTTCTATTTCTCTGTGTTACTTTCGTGTCTTTTTGTTTCACGAAACTTTCTCAAAGCTATCCACCTCATGACAAAAAATCTCTTTCATCAAGGGTCCGGTTGCGTATAACTATCATTCATATTAGTCTCGATTCCATAATTTTGTTGTCTATACATGCCCAGAGGCTTATCTTGTATAAAAGAAACACAATTATTAATACCCAACGGCTATGGTGTATTATACCCCTCCCTTGAATCCCATCCTTTTATTTTCGGTAAATGAATCACCATCCTTTTCTGACGTTTCATGAATCCCCATTTCGAACCAACTTTAGTACGAGTAATGAGTATAAAAGGTAAAAAATCTATTCACTTTATACAAAACGGTCACAAATCTTTCAATATATATATTTCAGTAACATACGTTTGATATAATAACGAAATGGTCATTTCGTCCATCTCCATCCAAAAAACCGTTAGTTTTGTTCAGTGAACAAGCCACATCACTTACAATATAAATAAAAAAATTAACTACCAAACCCAATTGAACCGAACAATCCTAATTTTATACCCACCCACCCGGAAACTCTAATTCAATCGATCAAAAAAATTAATGTTACCCACGTGATGTTAAAGACAGAAAGTCGCTTTCCTCTTTCATCATGGCCCTTAGAACATGTATCAGCTCCCCCAGAATCGCTGTCAAAAACCAACGCTTAGGCTAGCTCCAACCCATGGTGTCAAATTGCTATAAAGCCATATTTGGCTTTTTTTCTTCCTCCAACCCACAAAAAAATGGGAAGCCAAAAATGGGTATTGGGTTTTTGGAAGGGAAATATGGCTGGGTTTTGGGGTGGGGAGTGATATTTGGCTGCCAAAAAGTGGGGAGGTTGTCAGCTGGCGGAGAAGGGCGCCGGACGCGCACCTGGCGCCCTTCTCCGCCAGCTGACCTGTTATCCTTTTTTTTTTCTTTTAACTTTTGTTGGTTGGGAATTTGGGGAGCCAATTTGTTTTGGATTTTTTTCCTCTATTCTCATTGGTAGTTTGTGATTCAATTTGAAATATAAATTTGAAATAATTGATGTAGTGACGAAAAAACGGTCATATTTTAACGGCCATAAAAAAAACGGTCATATTTTAACGGCCATATTTTTTCTTATATATTACAGCACTCTTCATAGATTTCTCTTCACTCATTCTCAGAGCATAAATCGCATTCTCTCAAAATTCAATTGTTATCGTCTCTCAAAATAGGAATATGACAGGCAAGAGAGGACCTAATTGGCGTCCGAATGAAGATGAAATCTTGTGCAGAGCTTGGGTGTCGATATCAGAAGATGGAGCGGTTGGCACCAACCAGAAGTATACAAGGTTGTGGGAAAGAGTGGCGGCAGAACATCAAAAATGGGATCCTACTACAATTCGTACTGCTGTTGCAATGGAATCCCGAATGAGGATTATTTGCTATCACTGCAATGCTTGGAAGGGAGTTTTGCAAAGAGCACAAAGGCATCAATCGAGTGGCACGAACCAGTTTGATGTGGTATTCTTTCGGACCCTCAACTTGTGTATTTTCTTATTTTTATATGTGTCAATATAAACTTCTCTAACCCATGTATTACATATTTTATTAGGAAAAGGAGGCAAGAGCAATATATAAGCAAGAGAATGGGAACAAGGCTTTTGATTTTGAGCATTGTTTCGAAATTCTCCGAAATTGTCCAAAGTGGTACTCCAATCCTGACCTGCTTGTTAGTCCCATTCCACCTATGGGGCAAGGTTCCCAAAGTTCTCCCACAGGTTTTGGTTCTCAATCATCTCCCGTGGAAGGCCTTGATGACTTACCAGATGAAGGAGCTACGCCTTTCGTGTTGACTCGCCCTGAAGGACGCGACAAACAAAAGGCAGCAAAGAAGAAAGGTAAGGTAGTTGCTGAATCGTCAGACATATACACTACTCAACTGCTAGAGTTTGGTAATGATATGAGAGAGAGACAAAAGTCGAGGATGGAGTATGAAAACAGAAAAATGAATGTTCAAGAGAGGAGGCTAGAGCAGGAGAAAGAGGAATGGGCATACAAGAGGCAAGTGAGGGAGCGTGAAGCGGAAAAGTGGGCTGTGGAGAAGAAAGAGAGGGAAGCTGCAATACTTCAACAAAATGTAGCTATTCTAGAGAAGGATTTGTCAAAGATGACACCAAGAAAGAAGAGATTTTGGAGGCGTAAACAAAATGACATTTATGGGTACGATCAAGATGATCCCAACTCTTATCCAAGTGATGGCGGAGATGGAGATGGCGATGCAAGTGGTGGAGGAGATGGCGATGAAAGTGCTGGAGGAGATGTCGATTACTTTCCTGTCATGGATTATTAATTAGAAGAAGATCCTATTTGTACTCTATTGTCTTTACATCTTTAATGTGTTGTGTGTTCTCTTTCAACTTTGTTATTTTCATGTGTCATGTGTACTCTTTGAACTTTGAGCAATTCCATGTGTAATAAAAACAAGTGTTATTGAAAGTTTGAAATACAAACTACCAAGCAACATGAAATACAATCACACACTCAAAACTTGAAATACAAACAACCAAGCAGCATGAAATACAATCACACACTGAAACTTGAAATACAAACAACCAAGCAACATGAAGTAAAACAATGCTAGATATTGCCGTGCAAATTCCAAAGATGCTCAACCAAGTCATTTCTAAGCGCATGATGTGTTGTAGATGAGCGAAGCCTGTTATTTCTAGCCAAGTAATCAATTAGAGTTGATTGGTGTCGGTTGATTGGTTCAGGTTGTGCATGGATCTCATAATCAAGGTCATCATCCATCTCGTCATCAGAATCAACCTGCTCATCCTCGATTATCATGTTGTGTAATATAATGCACGTCAGCATTATATGTTAAGTGTGACAACATCCCAAGCTCTTGCAGGGCCACGAACAATTGCCCATCTTGTTTGGAGGATTCCAAATGCCCGCTCTACATCTTTGCGGTGTGCTTCTTGATGTTGAGCAAACAAAGCCTCTTTGTTTGACCTTGGATTGCTGAAGGTCTTCACTAAAGTTGACCATGAGGGATAAATACCGTCAGCCAAATAATAACATTGATCATAAGCATGACCATTTACCTCAAATCGTACATGTGGAGCGCTTCCATTGACGATACGATCAAACACTGGAGACATCCCCAGAACATTTATATCGTTGTTCGATCCAGGTGTCCCAAAGAAAGCATGCCATATCCATGTGTTGTAGGAGGCCACCGCCTCCAGAATGATTGTTGGCCTATGCATGTGGCCGGTGTATTGTCCTGCCCAACCACTTGGACAATTCCTCCATTCCCAATGCATGCAGTCAATTGATCCAATCATTCCAGGAAAGCCACGACTTGAGGCTTTACGGAGTAAGATCCTTAAATCAGCAGGAGTAGGTGCGCGAAGGTATGTGGCCCCGTACATGTTGATAATGTTGTTGCAAAACTTTCTGAAGACCTCCATCAAAGTGCTCTCACCCATACGAACATACTCATCAAGTTGATCAGCTGGAGAACCATATGCTAGCATGCGCATCGCACCAGTAAGCTTCTGCTCTGGAGATAGTGACAATTGACCAAAGCTATCACGCCTTAGAGCAAATGAGGGGTCAAACCTCACAATGTCGCCCATAATGCGATGGAATAATCTTGGCTGCATCCGATAGCGCCTTCTGAATATGCGAGCATTGTATACTGGATTTGGATCGAATTAATCCCTCATAAGACGTCGATTACATTCGACCCTCTCACGATCAATGTGACGTCGGCTTGTAGTTTGACGGCGACTTGATGCACCTTCAGCCAGCCTCCGACCGATCAAACTCAAACGTAGGTGGTGAAACCTTTCGTACTCTTCGTTTTCTTCTTCTCCAGACGATGAGCTATCTGAGATACTCATGATGAATGTGTTTGTTTTAGAAATGGGAAGAAGTTTTAGTTGAGTTGATGAAAATGAAGAACTGTCATTTATAAAGACATTTGGTGCAAAAAATGACAAAAAAACAGTGGTAAAGTAACGGATACAAAAAAACGGTCATATTTGGAGTGGTCCCGAAGTTTTAACGGTAATATTTTAACGACTAATTTTTGAAAAAAAAATTATCTCGGAATTTAAAAAAAATTACATCGAAAAATTTGTATTCAAAACTAATAACGAGCTATGAAAAAATTAAAGTGAAATATAAAAATTAGAGGTCAAATAAGTATGGTTTATTGAAATAAATTGAAAAAGGGAAATGGGAAGCTAAATTTAGCTTTTTATAGGGTTGGAGTGAAAAGTGGGTTTGGGGAGCTAAAAAGCCATATTTGGCCATTTGGAGAGCTAAATTCCCCTTTATGGGTTGGAGTTAGTCTTACACTGTTGATTGCTTCCTCTGGTCGCAACGGGACCCTAACCAAACACCCTCACTATCGATCCCTCTCTTGCTCGCGTCGCCGGCGTGAACCGAAGCCCCCACCATCGATCACTCCCCTGCTCGCGTTGTCGGTGTAAACTAAATCGCCGCTTCACTTGTGTTCTTAATCTACTGTATGGAGTGGTTAGGAGTCATTCTTTGCCAAATGATATGTGGCTCCTCTGATGGATCTCTTATTAGGTATCCTTGGATCTCTTATTGATTGAATTAGAGTTTTTGGGTGGGTGGGTATAGAATTAGGATTGTCCGGTTCAATTGGGATGGTCCGAAACAAACAATTTTTTTTTCAAGGAAAGCTCAGAGGGCATGAGACAAAGACTCGACACACTTACAAGACCGACTCAAACACTGTGAGTTAGTCCGTATGCAACCAAATTACGATGAAAGAGCATGTAAAGCCACTACTTGGGCAGCTCTGAAGAAGCTATGAGGAGCAAAGACACGACATTGACGGGACAAAACAAAAACAAAAATCCAACATCTCCAAGATAGTCCCGCCAGCGAGTGTAGTTTCTTTCGACGAAGTATACCGGATGTCCAGTATCGAGTTGCCGCGAAAGTCACAACAAAGAAAAGAAAACGTGATGACCAATATTAAACAAACGATTTTTTGGATGGAGATGGACGGAATGACTCTCTCTAGCGTATGTTACTGAAAGGTGCAAAATAAAAGATTTGTTACCGTTTTGTACAAAGTGAATAGGTTTCGGACTTACCCACTCTAGTGCATATGATAAATATATGCATGAGGGTAGTTATATAATATCTCAACCCAAGTCTCATTTCCCTTTTTATTGGAAAATTAGAAATATTAATTCCAGTCACATGGAATCGATTAATCACCATCAATTTTTAGAAATGATTAACCAATTAGTCCCTCAATTCGCTGGTATAAATTGGAGAGATCCCTTCGTTTGCTATTTGATGCCTTGACCATATCTACTACTACTCACTCACCTAAATTTACTCCACTTCCTACTCATTCGACCTTCACTTTTGCCACTTTCTTTCCCTATTTTTCTCAGCTGATCATTTGTCTGCTTTCCTTTTGCCACTTTCTTTCCCTAATTTTCCTCAGCTGATCATTTGTCTGCTTTCCCAACTGATTGCGAACTCCACCAACCCGTTTTTGAATTAGAGTAGCAAAGCATCTCCGTCGGCCATTCCTAAGAGCATCTTCACATTTTCCCTTTCTGCTCTCAGTAGCGTCCAAGTCTAACAAATAGCAAAGCAAAGGAGAATAAGGAAACGAAATATCCCGCTGCAGGAAAGGGAGATTGTAGTTCGGCTCGTTATACTTATAACTTAGAAGAGAAGAGGAGATGGGTTCTTTTCCAATATTATCTTTTGTCTCCAACTGGGTTCGTTTGCATTTAGACGTTCGAGGGTTTTGATGGTTTCCGATAGCAAAAAAGGCCGTGGAGGAGATATTTATTTGTATCCACCACCATCCCTTCCCTTTTTCTCTTTCTCTCAGGAAAGGGAATTTCTCTTAGCGCCACCTTATCTCTCTATCTAATATCTACCTCCAGCTGCCCTCTCTCTTCTGAAAATACCCATCTTCCTCTCATTGATAAGAGTTTCTGTTGGGGATTGGTAGGAGAGGAAGAAGAGAGGTATGGAAGCCGTGCTACAAACCAGAGGGCTTTTCTCACTACCGCCTAATCCAAAAACCAGAGCTTTATATGCATCCCAGGGTTTAAGGCAGAGGATTTCGGCTTCAAAACCCAAAACCTCACCTGGGTTTTCCTTATCTTCAAATGGGTTCAAAAAATTTCCGACCTTTGTGTCCGCCCCCAATGGTCTGTTCCCAAGTAACAGAACTTTGCATATCTGCAAAGCGGAAGCCGCCGCTGCATCCGAGGGACAGCCGCTGTTTCGCAAGGAAAGTGAGAGCAAGAAGGTTCTAGGTATCGAGGTTGAGACTCTCAAGAAGATTGTTCCACTAGGTTTGATGTTCTTTTGTATCTTATTCAATTATACAATTCTGAGGGATACGAAGGATGTGTTGGTGGTGACTGCCGAAGGGAGCAGTGCAGAGATTATCCCCTTTCTGAAAACTTGGGTGAATTTGCCTATGGCGATTGGGTTTATGCTTCTATACACCAAATTGGCTAATGTGCTATCCAAGGAGGCTCTGTTTTACACTGTAATCATGCCCTTTATCGCCTTCTTTGGAGCTTTCGGGTTCTTCTTGTATCCCTTGAGTCATTATATTCACCCTCATGCATTTGCTGATAAGCTTCTCAACGTGCTTGGCCCAAGGTTTCTTGGTCCACTTGCTATAATGAGGATTTGGAGCTTTTGTTTGTTCTATGTCATGGCTGAATTGTGGGGGAGCGTGGTGGTTTCCGTGCTCTTCTGGGGATTTGCTAATCAGGTAAACTTTTTTTTTTTTTTTTTATGAATATCAGGTTAACTTTCTATTGGTGATTTGCCTGCTGATATTTTGTTTTATGATTCCCTTCGTCTGTTCTTTGTTGATTGTTACTTGTTTTTGCAATTCTTCATTCAGTCAATTGGATGATTGCCTGAAAAATGTGGTGAGTCAATTCTGTCTGTGTTGTGTTCCTCATGAACCCTGTGTGACTTATGTGGAAGCTTTGCTCAATGTATGTGGACCTTGTACCATCCTAGTGCTCTAGGCTTCACTGTTTAGTTCTTTCTTATCCTGAATCTGTTGTCATTCGCTGGGCTCAACAACAGACTTAACTGATTGCTTTTGTGGAATTCGTCTTGAGGAATGTATCTCGTGGAGTAATGTTCGGTGTTGATTGAGTTATGTCTCTGGCAATCTTATTGAAATAAATGCCTGTTTAGGACTCTGAATTGGTCCACTTTGGTACATTTAACGTGTTTCTAGTTGAATATTCTTACTAGAGCAAGGAGGGACATTAACTTGACAAAGTATAACATTGTGCATATGCTGCTCCTAGCTAATATCGAGTCTTATTGACAGCTTGGTTATGGAAGTTTGAACTAACTATGTGCTTGTTCATTCATGTCAGATCACTACTGTTGATGAAGCAAAGAAGTTTTACCCACTGTTTGGGCTTGGTGCAAATATAGCCTTAATTTTCTCAGGACGGACAGTTAAGTATTTCTCTAATCTCCGCAAGAATTTGGGTCCTGGAGTTGATGGTTGGGCTGTCTCCCTCAAAGGAATGATGAGCATTGTTGTACTGATGGGTGGTGCTATCTGCTTCCTTTACTGGTGGGTAAATAGAACTGCCACTCTTCCAACCGTCAGCAAGAAGAAGAAGGTAAAACTTATTGAGTCATGTTTTATTTCTGTTCTGTTTTAATGCTGTACAAAATTGATGTTGTTATCTATATTCTTTGAGTTCTTAATTGTTAAGACTCATGAGGTTAAGAGAGTGAGCAACATTCTGCATCCTCAGGGTCATTAATTGAGATCCTCCTTTCTTTCTTTATTTCTTTCAGGCAAAGCCAAAGATGGGTACAATGGAGAGCTTGAAATTCCTTGTCTCTTCAAGATACATCAGAGACCTTGCAACTTTAGTTGTGGCATATGGCATTAGCATCAACCTTGTTGAAGTTACGTGGAAATCTAAGCTCAAGGCGCAGGTAAGAAGTCAATTACTTGCCTTCCAATATCTCTTCATTCTTATATGATAATTAGTCGCTTACTTGCTGTCTAAATTTGTCAGTTCCCTAGTCCGAACGAGTATTCTGCATTCATGGGTGACTTCTCCACAGCTACTGGAATAGCAACATTCACGATGATGCTCGTCAGCCAATACATCTTTGACAAATATGGATGGGGAGCTGCAGCCAAAATCACACCCACAGTGCTACTTCTCACTGGAGTCGGATTCTTCTCTCTGATCTTGTTTGGTGGTCCTCTTGTTCCCACCCTCGCCAAATTTGGGATGACTCCTCTGCTTGCGGCTGTCTATGTTGGCGCCTTGCAAAATATTTTCAGCAAGAGTGCCAAGTACAGCTTGTTTGATCCCTGCAAAGAAATGGCTTACATCCCTCTGGATGAGGAAACCAAGGTACGCATGGTTCCCCTCTCCCCATTAGCTTTCTATAACTTGATTGATAGTCGCTGGAGCCATCCTAGTTAATAATCGGTTTATGTTCACTGTCTGTGTTTGATTATCGTGCGCACAGGTTAAAGGAAAGGCAGCCATTGATGTGGTCTGCAACCCACTTGGGAAATCAGGGGGAGCTCTGATTCAACAGTTCATGATTTTGACCTTCGGTTCACTCGCTAATTCAACTCCTTACCTTGGAGTGACCCTTCTGGGTATCGTACTTGCGTGGTTAGCCGCAGCCAGGTCGTTGGATGGGCAGTTCACTGCTTTGAGACGGGAGGATGAGCTCGAGAAGGAGATGGAAAGGGCTGCCGTGAAAATTCCAGTTGTATCTGATAACGAAAGTGGGAATGGATCTCTTCGCAGCGGCACTGGCTCCCCATTGAACCCTACAGCAGGTGACTCAACCAGCAGCTCATCAGCTCCCAAGATGTAAGAACAAGTTGTTTTTTTTGGTGCCAGAATAGAAGTCCAGGAAACGGGAGTAGAAGAAGAAGAATAAGTAATGAAGGAGAGCCTGCCATGTTAGGTAACCCATTTGGTGGTGGGTAGGGTGGAAAGAAGTAATAATATATACTAGGGATGAATGATGGTATGCGTCTTGAAATTGTTGCTCTTGCGATTTCGAAGGTTTTGTTCGCGCGGAGATTGTTTCACTCGACTTCATAAGTTACGTTGTAGATTTGAATTTTTAGTCACAAGTTAATAAGTACAGAAGTCATGTCAAAACGTAAGGAGCAACGTAGTTACATAGAACATCATAGCTGGCCAACCTTTTGGTGACTGATTGGTGGTTATTGCTATTTTGGTTACACTGTTAAACCACATGTGTTTTAGTATCAAAATATGGCTGACTGTGAGTATGATGCAGTATCATGAAAGTTTATATGAATCATTTTGCCAAAGCTAGCTATGCTGATAGATAGAAGGCACGGCAGGCTAACAGCTCTAAATTGGACGATCTATAATCCAAGGCGGGCTGGGAAAGCCCTTCTGAATCAGTTGTCTCGTCTTTTTGTTCTGTATCAGAAACAATGCATTCATATTATGAAAATTGAAAAGACGAAGAATTCATCGTAAACCTTATTCGGTAAAGCGTTTGTCATGTTGTGGGCGCCCTTCCCTTTATGGGATAACAATTCGATTGTTTTGGAAGTATGTACAACACTTGCTTTATTCCTCTAACCATGACCCTCATGACCCCAGCACTGCCAAAAGCGAAACAATGGCGCCCGTATCTTTTTTCCTGGAGGAGTGCGGGACCAATTCTGGGTGCTCGTGGATGGAAGAATACCCCAGCTGGAACACATTTATGTTCACCTGCTGCATTACATATTTTATTTACGAGAATAATATGTATGGAAAAAAAAAGGATTAAAAGGCTCGTCATTAAGGCCGCAAATGAGCCGAGCTGCTCGCGAGCGGCTCGGCGTTCGACTCGAGAAAAGCTCGTTCGAAACTCGACTCGTTAATAAACGAGCCGAACACGAGCTCACCTTTGTTCGGCTCGTGAAGCTCGCGAGCTAGCTCGACTCGGTGGCTTGTTGAGCTAAACTCGTGAGCTAGCTCGTTTAGAGCTCATGATATGTCTTGACATGTGGCTAGAGAGCCAACTCGATTACCAACTTATGGACGAATCAATCTATATCTTATGATTTTAATTAATATGGTTGTTAAATTATATATCTCACCATATATAAAGTTTAATACGTTAAGTTTTTGAGCAATATATCTTATTTTCTACTTTAAAAAGAAATTATGCATCATAAATTGTTTCGATACTATGAAATAACATGATTTGGAGTAGTTAAAATTTATTAACTAAATGATATATGATACCAACAAAGTATAATATGAGATTAGCTAACAAAATAAATCATATGTATTATAATATACAAAATGAAGTATCAAATAAAAGTTAAGATTTTAATAAACAAGCTAGCTCGAGCTCAACTCAACTCGGCTCGTTAATAAATGAGCTGAGCTCGACTCGTTTATTAACGAGCCGAGCTCAAGCTGGAGTAAAACTCGACTCGACTCGGCTCATTTGCAGCCCTACACGTCATAGGCTTGGGCTTTTACCAGCCCGGGTACAACGGGCATTTTTTTTCTAGAATATACATTTTTTTTAAAAGATTCTAAAATACTAATGTTGTTAGAACCGAATCGGAGCATGACCCGTTAATGCGAATGACTCGCACTTTAGTGGTCTGATCGACACTAGACCGTTTAAAATCCGTCAGAGAACCAGTACCTAATAAATGTTATCAGTATAAATAATGGAGATTTCTTAATCAGAGCTCGTCTCTTTCCTTCAAAATTGTGAAATGGAAATAAAGATTCAGTTTGAGAGCCCGACGTTTTTGGTTTATTTCAATTTTCTGCAATTTTTTTAATGAAATTTAACGGCTGAAAGGCAAAAACCGGATGATCGGCTCGAGCGGTTAACCGCCTCGACCGCTCGTCAACCGCTACATAAAATCGGAGCGGCTTTTAGATTGTTCTGAGCCACTTTTGTGACCGGGTGGCGGTTTTACCGGTCGGGTCGAGCAGTTCGGCTCGGCTTTAATAACACTGTAAAATACACACGTTTTAGAAAAAAATTTCAATCTACACATGTTTGGGCATCATTACGGTTGACGAATGCAGTGAACACATGCACAGACGCATCACTGTGGCGGAGGAATGCGGTGATGGTTCACCGCGGCATAGGAGGGTGGTGAAGGCTTCACCGCTATAGGTGTCAAAACAGAACCTGACCCGACTAACCCGACCCGCAACCCGAATTGACTAAAAGTCAACAACCCGTAACCAGCCCGACCCGGAACCCGATTGATCCGCAACACGACTAACCCGTAACCCGATTCACCTGAACCCGATTAAACCCACAACTCAATTAACTTGAACCCGAACGATTGACCCGAACCCGACTAACCCGCAACCCAACCGACTCAACCCGAACTTCACCTAATCCACTTGAATAATTATTATATTATATAATACATAGTTTTCAAAATAAAGTTTTTCATTCTAAACTTAGGTAAAATTATTTATTCATTTCATATAGGGAATTTAAACATATGAAACTTATGTATTTTAAGAAAATTACAAAAATTGAAACATGAAGGTCAGTTCTTTAACAAAATAAAAAAGTAAATCTGAAATATTAAATCATCACAATGTAAATATTAATAATTAATAATTGAGATCATGGATAATATTAATATAATATATAAATAAAATTTTTGGTTAATTTCACTAGTCAATAAAGTTATCAATTAAATATAAATAAAGTAAAGCAATGTATTTGATAATTCGATACTTTTAAAAGAAGTGGGAAATTAAATGGGGAATTTTGGTGGTTTGGATTTGTTGGAAGTGAAGAAGTGGGAAAGTTTGGTTCTTTTGATTATGAAAGGGAAATTTTAAGTTTTCAACTTTTTGTGAAAGGAAGGAAGAGGAAGATTTGGTTCTTCAAATGGAAGAGAAAGAGTAGGGAAATTTCAAATTGGTTCTTTCAATTTTATGGAAGAGAAAGAGCAGGAAAAATTGAGTGTTTCTAATTTATGGAAGGAGAAAAAAGGAGGACAATTTTAGTATTTAAATTTTTTTGTGAAAGAAAGAAGAAAACAAATTTGGTGTTTACATCAATCATTTATTTTAGAAAATTCACTTAGTTTGTCTACTTGTTTTCTATACTTCTACATTTATTGCAATTTCAACACTACATGATCGTTATTTTACAACACTTAGTAAAATTTTCGCACATTTAAGTTGAGTTCAAGTTGAATTTTCATTTCAAAATGGGTGTTAAACTTGGCCTGTTAAGTTTTACGATTTTGATAACTCAGTCGAGTTACGGATTTGAAAATTTTGGGTAATCGGGTTCCAGGTCACTTTGGAATGAAAAATGAGAGGGAGGTTTGGATGGGAACTTTGGAATGGAAAATTTATGGGCGGGTGAATATGAGCCAACAATTATACTAAACTTGATAAGTAATTTTTAATGGTTCGTTGTTTATGGTATAAAGTATATGGTTAGGGTATAGGGTATAAGGTACAGATGGTTTAGGGTGTATATGGTTAGGGTATAAGGTATTGATGGTTTTGACGGTTCTAATTTTTTTATTAACATATGTTCACTTGAAGTCATTTAAAATATTTAATGGTAGGAGATCCCTTTTTAATTTATGTTTATGGTACGTGGTTAGGGTACAAGGTATATGGTGTAGAGTATAGGATATAGCAAATATCATTTTTTTATCTATATTTCGAAAATCAAAGTATAAATTTCACTTTAAATTAAGGTTAAATACACTTGTATATCCAAAACTTTCACGGTTGTGCCAATAATATCCAAATTTCCCGAAATACCACTTATATCCAATTCCTTCACATTATTTAACGGTATTTTTGGATATACAAGTGTATTTAACCAAAAATATATTGGGAAATGGATAGATTTGGCAAAGAACAACTTTAAAACATGGATATAAGTGATATTCCGGGAAATTTGGATATTATTGGCACAATCGTGAAAGTTTTGGATATACAAGTGTATTAAACCTTAAATTAACTATACTAGCAAAATGACAACTCATAAGGATATATGGTTAAGGTATAGGGTTTGTTGTTAGTGTATAATATATTGATGGTTTAGGGTATACGATCAATAATATATATTAACTTAATATTGTCGATTGAGAGTAAGGCTAAGTGTATAGGATATATGCTATTGAGTAAGTTATGATTGAAGTCACAACAATTTTACTAAATTTGATAGTTAATCTTTGATGGTTCAATTTTTAGAGTAATTCGAACAATTTTACAAATAACTCGTTTGGCAACAGTTTACTGAAGTTATTAGGGCATTGAGTTATTTCGAAATAACTCCTTTTACTACTTTGCTTTTGCCAAATACCACACGTCAAATAACAGATTTGCATGGTTATACTAAACGAGATACTATAATCCAATTACTACTGAAATAATATTAAAATACCACATAAATAATTAATAGTGTCTTTTGGTTGCAAATCTTGATATAACCATTACTATAAGCTACTTTACCAATTATGATTAATTACCTAACAAGTTTGCAAGTCATATAAATTGATTCAACATTTGGACTAGTGTTTTTTGAAATTAAGTACATATACGAGATAGAAGGAAATTGATTAAAACTTGAGAAAAATATTTTAAATTAGTGTAATAAAATGTGTAAGTTGGTATCGACTAACGAGTAAGGAGTAAGTTACTCGATGCGCTGACCCAAACAACCCGCAACCTGATCCGCCCGCAACCCGCCCGACCCAAAACCCGATGAACACGTAACCCGATTTGCCCACAATCCGATTGAACCCGAACCCGATGAACCCGCAACCCGACTAATCCTCAACCCATTTGAACCCGAACCCGATTGAACCCAGCCCAAACCTGCCCGACTGACACCTATTTTCACCGTGGTCCAGAAAGGAGGTAAAGGCTTGATCTACGTTGAAACTTCAAACGAACGTAACTTTGCGCTTGGTTATCCGATCGTAGCAAAATTTGTTTTGATCCCGCATAATTTTTCGAGATCTTGCAAGTCGAGCGGGAAGAAGGCGGGACCAAACCGTCTACGGCAGTTTGCGGCTTGCAAGATCTCGAAAAATTATGCAGAATCAAAAAAAATTCGCTACGATTGGATAACCGAGCGTAAAGTTACGTTCGTTTGAAACTTCAACGCAGGTCAGGCCTTCACCGCCCTCCTCTGTCGCGGTGATGCAATCACCTCCTTCCTCTGTCGCGGTAAATGCCCAAACATGTATAGATTTGTAAGTTTTTTTTTTATGACATGTGTATTTTGAGAATTTTTTTAAGAACGTGTGTATTTTGGGTGATTATGGATACAACACGTGTCCATGGCATCTTATGAAACATGTATACAACTTTGGACTTATAGACTAACTAGATAAGAGCCAGCCGTTGCTACGGAGTGCGTGACTATGCGATAAAAAAAGTTATAATAGACAATTAAGGGTTAATAAGAATGGTAGTGAATAAAAAAGGCTTCATTCAGTAGTATTATCGTTAGTCTTCAATCTGATCCAGGTTCAAATATTTTAATTAGCACCTAATCATAAAAATTAACTTAGATCACTCTTATCTAATAAATAATATCACCCTTATCTAATAAATAGTAAAAGCCTAAACAAAAATAAAAAAATCTGAAAATAATAATTATATTCTTTTCTATTTATTTATTTTCCATGAATACACGGTAGTCGCCCACCTTATTTCACTTCATGATGCATATCCCTTTTGGAAAGATAGAAACTGGGTTTAATACACTTGTATATCCAAAATTTTCACAGTTGTGCCAATAATATCAAAATTTCCCGGAATACCACTTATATCCATGTTTCAAAGTTGTTCTTTGCCAAATCTATCAATTTCCAAATATATTTTTAGTTAAATACACTTGTATATCAAAAACACCGTTAAAGAATGTGAAAGAATTGGATATAAGTGGTATTTCAGAAAATTTGGATATTATTAGCACAACTGTGAAAATTTTGGATATACAAGTGTATTTAACCTAGAAACTATTTCACTTAGCATCTTTTTTCGTTTCTAGAATGTTGTCTTCCCTATCTCCTATTTCGTTCTTCTTCATCACCAAGTCATGCACCACTCCCACTCTTCGCAGGAATCATATCTCCACAGCCGTAAAGGTTAGATCTCCTGTCGCATCCCCCTATCTCGTCGTATCCTTTTTTCTCCATTTCTCTGTATATTTTGAATGTCGAACCTAACCCTCCTTTGGTTAACCCCATATATCCAAAAGTAATTCCTGTTTTGAAAATTCAGTCCTAGTAAAAATTCATTCCAAATTTTTTTTTTATTTTGGATATACAGGATTTTTGGAATAGCTTACCTTCCATTTTCAGCAATCCACTTACATTTCGAAACTATGTATATGATAAAAGTTGTATTCCTTAAAAATTTATGCAAAAAAAAAAAAAATCATGTCGTTTGGATTTTGGAGCACAAAGTTATGGTTGTCCAAAGTTTGACGAAATCAGAAAAAACCTCGTTCGGGGTAGCAAACGACATTTTTTGGGACGAAGGCGGGACCAAGCTACTTTCGGCAGTCTTCGGTTTGCAAGATCTCAAAAGGTTAGGCGGAATCACAAAAAATCGCGACGATCGGATACTCGAACAAAAAGATACGTTCGTTTGAAGTTTCCACCTAGGTTAGGATTTTTCAAAAGATACGTTCGTTTGAAGTTTCCACCTAGGTATGGAGGGTAAATTAGAGGAATGGAGGTAAGAAAAAAAGGAGTAAATTTGCCATTTCCCCTCTCATTTTGTACTGGTCAAATCGAAATTAGCAGAACTTCGAATGGAAATATTCGCAGAATCACAGGTTTAATATCGTGGTGATAACAGAAGGGCAAATTTAAGACAAAGTCATAATAAAGAGACAAGCTATGCTACTAAACCCGTCATTTTATTACCTAAGAAAATTGAGCACAGCTGGTTTGCTGCTTAGTAAAGTGGCGGATTCAGAAAATTTTCACAGGGTGTCCTCTTCAATAATTAAATTTAATTATATAATAAATTAAATAATTTATATATTAAAAATATCATACTTGTATAATTTGTATAAATTTTTTATTAAATAATAAATTAAAATTCATATTTTGAAAAAAAATATAAATAAACTCTGTGTCTGCACTATTCAAAAAAAATCCACATATCCTACTAGACAATACTTCACGAACTTATCACATATTCGATTTCTAACCTTGTTCTTAATGTAGCTCAAAGTAGAAAAGACTCTTTCAACACTTGCCGTGTAACCACAAAATCAATTCAAAATTAAGGGTAGCGTGTACGTAGTTTATTTATTAGGTATTGAAAATAGTTGGGGATAAAGAAATAGCGTTTTACTGATGCATGATGTTTAAAATAGAATAACAAATGAGTAGCAACATAATTAGAATATGTTTGATAATAGTAGTGTCCTAGGTTGGAATAACACGGCCTACCACTTATATTTTGTTAATCATGAGCAAACTATTATCGAGGGTAGGATAATCATTTTTTCAAATGTTAGGGTGTCCCGGATTACCAATTATATTTTGTATACTCATACGAAACTATTTCCGGAGGTTGGATAATCGTTTCCACAAATTTTAGGGGTGTCCCGGGACACCCCTAGAGGCACATGTATCCGCCCCTGGCTTAGGCCAAGTCCAATGGGGTCTTCATTTTTCAGGTGGTCGCCAAAAGTGGCGAATGGCAGGCTCCAATGCAGGGGAAAAAATGGCGAGGATCCCTATAATTGGAGGAAATCGGCATTTGCATCGGCATATTTGGGGGAGAGAATGGCGAGCGGCGCCATTTTTGGAGACTGGGAGCACTGCGCGTGTGGCGCACCGCCAAGCATCAGCTGTATTTTTTTATTTGATAATTAATAAGGATAATTAATTAAGGGGAAATAAGGGGAAAGTGTTATGATTTATTAAGGGTTCTTTAATTTGTTTTTAATGTGTGTTTAATATATTGTTTAATTTAAAAAAATTTGGTGTCGGAATTTAAAAAATTTCTATCGAAAAAATTGTATTTGAAAACGATGACGAACTATTCAAATATTAATATGAACAAATTATATTAATGCTTCCATAAATACATTTTTAAGTAAATGAAAAACTGAATAAAAAGAAGATTCCCATATTTGGAGAATGTAGCATTGGAGCAAAAGAGAAGAAAATAGGGATGATCCCCAAATTTGGGGACTAGCATTGGACTCAGCCTTAGTAGGTTGTTGAAAGTGATGAAACATATGGACGGCTTGTCTCATTCGTTTGTGCACATTTCCTTTTCCCCATTCTTGTTTAATTAATATACATGCATGGGATATCACCCTCATGATCAACGCGCGCATTAACATCACAAGTACAACTATGCATATATCTGTGTCTTAATTACATGATATAACATCACACAAATGTGTACGAAGATCACGAGTAAGTATAGCCAAATCCAGTTACGTCTTTACTAGATATACACATCCATCCCGTTGCTGGCTCACTCAGCACCACATCTTCCCTTCTCCCCAGAAGTACACCCAGCTTCCCTATAAGATCAACTCTTGTTTCCTCACATTTTTCACACCAACTAAAGCTAGCTAGATATTAAAGGGAATTATGAGTCTCCTCAGGGGAAAGCTTGAGGCATGTTTTGGGATCAGACTTGCAGCAACTCAACACCATGAAATCTTCAGCAACAGGCCAAACCACGTCTCCAACATGGCACCCACCAAGATCAAGAACTGCGCTCTCCATGGAGGCGATTTCGGCCAAAAGGGCGCCCTACTCAACTGGGACTATATCCATGGTAAGTTACGATTGATGCATGTGATCTTTAAGTGGGACTATATCTACGTACTAGTTGGTTTTAATAACTCGAATTTATATATATGTATATGCTGATCAGATGGGGCTCACAAGGTGGCCAAGGAAATAGTCGAACACATTGATGATGTGAATCTGTCGATCACCTTCAAGGTCATCGAAGGGGATCTTACCAAGGAATACAAAGAGTTGAAGATATTCGTCAAGGCGACTCCCAAATCAGACAACACTAGTCTCATCCAGTGGACTTTGGACTACGAGAAGCTGGACGAGGATGTTCCCGAGCCCTTCTCTTTCATGGAATTCCTTGTTCATCTCAGTAAGGATATCGATGTTCACCACACCAAGAAGTGAGCATCTCATCTCATGTGTGTGTATGGTTCGATGTAATTCCCGGCCCCCATGATCAAAAGCTAAGTGCATGCATGCATGCAGCATTGCTATATGTATGGATCTACGTACCTTTGTTTGGTAGCTAGCTAGGCGTGGTTGCGGTTCGTCGTTTAGTTCCATCGCTTGGCTATGTTGTCCTTAAAGATATATATGCAGCAAATAATAAATAAATAATAGTAAGAGGGGGTTTAATATGTCTTGGTGGATTGTGGTATATGTGTGAATGAAGTGATATGTAATGAATGATGGATTAATGCCATGTGTATAATCTCTATGTAATGATATGTGTGGAACGTGATGATTATTATGGATGGCAAAAATATATGTAACGGTGGATATCCGTTCGAATCCGATTTAATCGGGTAGGGATCGAATAACTCGAATTCGAAAGATTTTTAGTGGGTACGGGTAAAATTCGAATCCGAAAGACTTTTAGGGGTCGTTTGGTGAACAGGATTCAGGACATGGATTCACTGAATCCGCAGATTTTGTAGAAAGTTATGTTTTTTTGTTGCTTTCTGTATTATGGATTCTAGCTTTAAAGATTTCAAATCTCTAAAATCTGCGGATATCAAATCTCTCATAATCAGAGAGATTCTATATCTTGATTCGTGAGATTTTTTTCTCCTGGTTTTTCTCTTACTTCTATTTATTTATCACATGAAATATATCTATCAACAAAGTTGTTAATATTTCTTGAACCACTCTAATTTTTTTATTAAGGATACAAAATTTTATTTAATATAAAATTAAATTTTTTATTTTAATTGAATGTTAACAATCATAGTTACCAAACAATAAAAAATTTAAAAATCTGTTTTCAACAATCTGGAGAATTAAAATCTTTAGATTGTTGATAATTTGTAGATTTAAACTTATATTCTCCAAACGACCCCTTAGTGGGTACGGGTAAAACTCGAACCCGAATATTGCGGTTAATGGGTGGGTATAATTTCGCACTATCCAACCCGAACCCGCCCGATTATACACATGTGTATATATTCTCGATATAATTATTATTTTTCTCTAACATATTTTATATTTAACATATACATCTAATATTTTTATAGAATTATGTTGTTTTAATTAAGTTTTTTCATTCTAGTGAATTATTGTCATACTTTTCCTCTTATGTAATGTGAGAAAACGTGTGAATGTTACCATCTTAGTTGGAGTTATAAAGATAAATTATTATTACCATTGGATAACCGTGGATACCCGAAACCCGAACGGGTATGAACATGGTTTTGATTTTCTACCCATATCTTATATGGGTAAGGGTATGCGTAAAACCCGAACTAATTTGGGTAGGGTAACCGATATGCACTATCCATCCCGACCCGACACGTTGCCATCCTTAATGATTATGAATGAAAATATGATGTGTATATGATATGGAATAGCCTAAAAGGTTATGTTACCGTACTGGAAAGCTTACAAGCCCATGATGGGATAATGGATAGCCTGATTGGCTATAGTGTGATACTAGGAAGCCTATAAGGTGAAATGTGAAATGGGAAGCCAAAAGGTGATGATGTACTCATATGGAATGGTCAATGTAAATGTGCGAATGTATTAAACACGAACATACAAATGGTATGTCATTGATGCTATGATCGATACTTGTATTGTGACTATCTAAACCAGAATTGTCTAATTACCTAATCAAACCTAATGGTGCCTTGTCATGCACTCTATGAGATTGGAACTATGGCTATATGTCTAGCTCTCTGGGAGAGCGATACAAGGCTTGGTGTACTAGATATGCTTTATGTATCTATTGGGAATGTTTTATGCATCTACTAGTATATCCGGGGGATTGCATGACTTGACAAAGTAAAAGATAAAAGACACGTAATATGGCAAACTCCAATGTGTGCATACATTATTGACTAATGGGCTATGGAGTGTGTGTACATGATTGATTACTATAATATGGATGTTTATATGTACGGAATGCATTGACGATGTGATTATGGAAAATGGTTATCTTTGGGGGAAAAAGATGATGCGTGCATGGCTAGACCGGAATGTGAAATGGATGTTTTGTACTTGCCATGTGTGCGAGTGTTTGGGTGATGAATGCTCCATGCGTGTTTACAAATGGATCAATTCGAGAAGTAGCCGGGATTAGAAGGTTAATGGATCGATTTTATTCGTTGTCTAGATTGAGGTGCAACCGCATCAAATGTCAACTATTATGTGGAAGGATTCCACAGGAAGCGAAGATAGCTATTTCAGAGTACAAAAAATTCCCCGAGGCTTGTCTACCTATAAGATATGTAAGAGTTTGAATAATTATAGGAAAACTCACATTTAAGGAAAATTGGGGTAAAATGTGTACAATTAGACCCGTATCACTTTATTCCGTCTTTTTTTTTTTTACAGAATTTTCCTCTTACAATCACATGTAATTTTTCACATCACTCGCTTGGCGCGAAACGCAGTGAGCGGACTTCTCTAGTCTAAACCATTACTATATGGAGGTTTCACTTAAGAACCCCAATAATCTCAAATCTTCTGGCTTCTGTGCACAGTGTGGAGGGACATCTTGGTAAAAACAACAATTTAAATCACCTGGGCCATACCGAGCAGTAAAGGGAGGATGTAGGAGCTTTAATTTGTGCGGGGCCCATGATTCCTTGTGAGAGCAGCGGAGGGGCTCTAATTTATGTGGGCCATGATTCCATACGTTGTGTTTTCCAAGATTATGTCCTCCTTCCGATTGTTGTTTTTCTTCTTCCTAATACGGTGGACGTGTGGCGTACTTTTTTTTATGGAAAACCTGTGCTCATATTAATCAAACTGTTGCTGCTACATCATCTAGCTCTAACTGATTAATCAGAAAACTCAGCGGGCTATCAAACCACACCACTCTCTCTTCCCAATTTGTATTCGTTCTAGCCATGATATGGGCTGAACCATTTGCTTCTCTGGATATCTGTCGACACCTGCCTCCTATCCGCATGATAAGACTACGTCAAATGTTCCTACAGATCACCCCGACTTCCATATGTTCCCGATTCGGGTGTTGAACTTTTGCAATCATCGTCATACAATCACTCTCCAGGATCAGTCTGCTATCACCCAGCCCCGCCAACATTTGCATACCCAGCTCTGCAGCTAGTGCCTCTGCCATCTCGACACTTAAAGTTCCCCTCATCCTTTTGGCCGTCGCAAGCACAAACTTCCCATTGGTGTCCCTTATCACCACTCCCAGTCTGATTCCCCCCTCATTAAGCATCGCTGCATCATTGGATATGGAGATGTTTCATGTTCCCGGTTACCTCCACTTCTTAATCAACTGTTATGTTGCATTCGACTCCTCACGGACTTGATAAGATTGATAGTCTTCTAAGAAGAAAATGGCCCTTGGTATAATATCATTTTCAGGTAGCTTCCTCTCGTTCCAATACTGGGCATTCCTCTCTTTCCACAAGTACCATAAAAGCACACACCATCCCTCGACTACCTTCTTCTCATTCGATTCCAAAAATCCCTGTAACCATGTCAAACAGTCACCATCTCCCCTGGACTCGAAACAGCTCACAAACGAAGATGTTCACCATATCCTGGAATCCCATTCGCATTCACTAAAGAAGTGCACTTGAGTCTCCTCCCGACCACAGAAAACGCAGCTGCTGCCCCACTTGCTACTCCGTGCTCCAACAGGATCTCCCGTCGGCAAAACCTCCCTCGCAAACCGCCAGAGGAAATTGCGCACCTTAGGAGGGATTTCGAGGTTCCAGGGAAGCAGGCTTGGAGGATATTAATGTCCCATTTCTCATCATCTTGATCCATCAGCTCACGAACCATCGCGTCGACTGGCAGCCCCATCGGGCTCGACGGGATAAAGAAATTATCAAGGCCATGAACCCATCTATCGCCCCAAATACGAACTATTGACCCGTTTCCAATTTTCCATCGTAACCCACTGCATAAGAACTCTTGTGTCGAGATGATGCTCCTCCAAATGAAGCCAGGTCTGTATCCAAGATGGGCTTCCAGTATAGACGAGTGTTTGTGGTATTTTTCCTTTAGGATGCGGGCAACAAATGAGTTTGGGTTCTTGTAGAGATTCCACAGATGTTTCGCAAGCATTGTTGTATTGAAGCCCCTCAACTCCCTAAACCCCCAATCCACCTTCCTCCTGTGGGCATGCCAACTCCTCTCGTTTTAACCAGTGAGCTCGTCGCTCAGAACCCCTTTGTCCCCACCAGAAATTACATATCCAGCTCTGAAAATCATCCAGTATCCCTTCGGGCACCCGTAACACTGTCATCGCATATGAGAACTGGGCAAGAGCGACCGATTTGATTAGGACCTCTCTCGCCGCCAAGGACAGAACTCTCTCTTTCCATCCCTTCATCTTCCTTCTCACCCTCTATTTTATCCCTTCGAATAGTTCTTTCTTGGATCTTCCCGCCACGTGTGGCGTACTTTGCTTGCAGATGAACATATATGACCAGCCTAATTTTTATTTAATGATGTTACCACATTCAGTTAATTTTAAATATAAATGGTGTCTTATATTGTGTCTTATTAATTAGTGTTGTATTTCCATTTTACACCCAAAAAATAAAAGTGTTGTATTGACGTTTGATTGTCCTAATACATATACATTATATAATTAGTGAGGTCAGGGGTGTGCGTGGGTCGGTTGGATCGGTTTTCATTGATTTAACATTCAACCTATGAGTCTCGGGTTGAATGATGGTGAACCCAAACCCATCCATAAATTTCAAGACCCTACCTTTTTTTGAGTCACGGATTGGGTCGGGTTGGATGAAAATTTAATTCATTATACAAGTATAAAATGTTTATGGTAATAATCTAATACAACAATATCTATATTAATTAGGGTTTCATTAATGTTTTAATATAATCTTAACAATAATCGGGCAAACAAATTAAACAAAGGGAGAACAGAATGAAAGATCACTCCTCACTCACTGAAGGTTTAGACTAAATACTTTTTGAAGGCTACTCTTTTGTAGTTCTACCATCTATGCCTCAAAGAAATACTTTACGTGGAGAGTCATCCAAAAAATCAAATAATGCTTCACTTCGTTCGTTACAAATTGAGTGTAAGTACAAATACTTTTATTAACATAAGTATGTACATCTTACAATTTAATGTGTGCCCATGCAATGCGTTATTTAGGGGAAAAGATAGATATTTTTATACCACCAGAAGGTGTGATGGATTATAATCAGTCCCTATATTAAGTGCAAAATAAATTTTCTTATGCTATGAATTTCAATGAATCATGAATTGAATATTATCTCTCTAGATTTACACTGCTTGATCTTACAAAAATACCAGTATCCATTTTACATTGATCAACCATTGGCCAAATTAGCAAGAAGGAAATGTGCTCTTTATATAATGCAAAAGTGTATATATGAAAAGTCTTCATGTTTGTTTTTTATATATATGTAATCAAATTATGTGTTTAGATACTAAGATTGCTTACTTAAATGATTCCTATACATGACATCAAATTGGAATGAATAACTTACAAATTAAACGAAAGGAAATATATTATTGTGGCCCATCAAACTTGGCAAAAATCATTATAATAGTCTTCGAGTATTGCGATCTGGAGACTATCCAAGTTTATGAATATTTTTATAATTTTTTCCTTCATTTATAATAATGTTGGAATTTTTATCAAATGTATCTCTTATATTGGAATATTAATTTAATTGCCAGTTGTTGAAGTGTTTGCTATTGGAACCCCATCATATAAATGTCAACATTGTGGAGCGATTATGTGGAAGAGAGAAAATATCAAACCCATAAGAAATTCCAATGAACCAAAGTTTTTATTGTGTTGTGGACAAGACAAAGTGAACCTTCCTCCTCGAAGGCAGCTTCTAGAGGTTTTGAATATGCTATTGCAAGCGAACACGACAACAGGTTGTCATTTTTTGAAACATATCTGAGGCAAAAATGGGGTGTTTGGATTAACATTATTGAAGATAATTAAACTGGGCCGATCTGTAAATGATGGACAAGGAGTATATGTTTATTCAATGTGAGGTCAATTATATCATCGAATCGATAGCCTGATACCTAATGAAATGAACAGACCAAAATTTGTTCAACTCTACATCAATGACACTAGCAATGAACTCCAAACACAAGTTAGATTTTTTCTCCACAGATCTAGCTTCAAATCCTTTGCAAGAGATGTTAGATTCAAATAATATTTTAGTAAAGCCATTTCGATCTGCAATGGATAGACTGAATGACACTACTGTACAAAGAAATTAAGTTGATTGCTAAAAGAGAAGGGGATGCATGGTAGAGAATATAATTATCCATATGCAAATTAAGTTGCTTTAATTGTTAATGATAATGGGGAGCAAACATTTTCAGCGAAATCCCATATTATTCTTACATGGCGAGGATAGTTGGCATCCAAATATTTCATATTCTAACATTAAGGATGCGGATGGATACAATAAAAATGTGACCCAATGTATTCCTCACTTGATCGAGGTAAATTATATCTAAATACAAAAGAATATCAATATTAATTACAAATTTGTGCTATTCTCTATTAGATTTGGATGTTTAATTAGTGATAGTATTTAATCTAATTGAAAACTTGCAACTACCAGGTGAGGGACCTGATGTTCTAATTAATAAAATTGGCTTAGATGGATCATATAAAAAAAATTGGCCTCTAATTAAAAGGTGGAGAACACCCTTTTATTTCTTTCACTATCTCATTCGAAATTTAGGGGTTGTTTGCTTCATAGATTTAAAAATGAGGGTTTTGTAATTTAAAAACCTAAGGATTTATCAAGGATTTGAGGCATCATGGATTTGTAATAATCCTTTGTTTGTTGAGATGTTTTTATCATGGATTTAAAGGTGTGGGATTTACTTCTTGAAGTCCAAAATTACATTACTATCCTTGTCTATATGTTTGACATGTTTATGATGTGTACACAAAACAAGGACGAACAAGCCATAAAGAAAGCATGCAGTAATCTCTGACGATGAGGAGTAATTACACGAGTCATTTTAATTGGTCTTTAGCAGTTGATTCCCTAGCATGAAGTCGATTCTCTTCCAAAAAAAAAACTTTCATTTTTTGTAAAATTATTTTAGTCGACTAGACATTAATATGTCGGAAACAGGTACAATATTCTCTCTTTTAAATTGTTGAAATATTTTAATAATTTCAATTCTCTCATTTTCCCAATCAGTTAGAATGTCTATAGTATTTGAAGAACATAAATTTTCTTATAATAATGCGAAATTCGAAAACAAATTACCGCTGTTATTTGCACGATTACAACTTAATCCGGCCAACTGGCCGGACCCGTGACTAGTTCTCGATCAAACGAAAGGACCATAGTGGTGACGTCCCTACCAAAAAACGTCCAAAACAAGCAGAAAATTAAACCACATCCATGCAACGCTTTCGTTCAGTAACCAAAAGTCCACCTGCAGTTCCGTATAAGACTAAATCACTAAACTCAGCTCCACACCGCCAATGCCCAAATATGTAAGGCACTGCAGCAAAATTCCTCCCTCTCGGTTTGTCCACCAGACATAATTTTATGGTTCAAATGAATCTACCAGTGCCGATCGAGGATCTTATCTTTTTACTATTCACTTACGTTTTGGTCCAGATCGCGCCTTCTTTTTTTTGCCTAAGCAATGATCTCATCACTCAATACTGACAAACATGCGCCTCTCTACCAGCTGCGTGCAAACTTGTTATAAAATTAAACCACAGAACCCAACCTACCTTGTCATCGGCTCAGTAACTGAAACTGCACACAAGAGAAAGAATAAAAAACCCTTTTCCAGATGCGTTACATACAGGATGGTAGCGGTGGTGTTTTGGTGGTAGCGATAGTGGCGATCGTCGCAGCCAAGCTGTGGCAGCTACTATGGGCACTGCTCTGGAGGCCTTATGCCTTGACAAAAAATTTCAGAAACCAGGGAATCAGAGGTCCTCCTCGCCACTTCTTCCATGGGTCTCTCCGAGAAGTGAAGGAGCTGACAAGGAACGCCGCCAAGTTGGTGTTGGATAACTCCTCCAACGACATCACTCCCAGAATCAACCCTCACTACGACAAATGGTTCCCTGAGTATGGTCAGTTCTGTTCTAGTTCGCGCCTTGCGAATTGCGATTCTTTCATTGTTCAATTCGATTCAGTTGTGAAAGTATAAGAGATTAAAAGGCTTAACTATCCCTTTCCCAACAACTCGAGTTATTAGGACCAAGTGGTTGGTTCGCTAACAGACAGTATAGAGAAGTTGGGTGCATGGCTGAATTAAATGAAAAATTTGCAGGGGAAACACTTGTGTACTGGCATGGGCTGCTGCCCAGGGTCACAGTTACGGATCCTGAGCTTGTGAAGCAGATTTTGTCAAACAAGTTCGGTTTCTATGTGAAACCCATGTTCCGGCCTGTGACGGTAATAGCGAAAGGGCTTGTGCTGCTACATGGGCCGCAGTGGGCTACAAGGAGGAGGCTTCTCAATCCTGCCTTCTCCATGGAAAAGCTCAAGGTCTCTTCCCTGTCTCTTCTCTGTCTTTCTTCTCCTTGTATGTCTAGCGAGGTGTGGCACAACCTGAACCCTTGTTTTTTTGTTTACGGATTTTATGACACAGCCAATGATGCACAAAATCGGATCATGCACATTGGAAATGGTGTCGGAGTGGGGAAACCGTGCAAGAGAAGGCGGCGGGTGCGCCAAGGTAGAAGCGAACGCAGAGTTTCAGAGGCTTACAGCCGACATAATTTCTCACACCGCCTTTGGAAGCAGTTACATTCAAGGGAGAGAAGCCTTCCAAGCGTTGAGACAACTGCAGCTACTCTCAGCAGCCAAAATCGCAGATGTTTTCATCCCTGGAAGCCAGTAATTATAATAAACAAGTTTTCTCGTCCCCTGAAGAGACAAGATATATTCCTAGCTAGTACTGAGATTGGCTTATATTTGTTTGTTTGTTTTTTTGGGTAGGTATGTTCCTACTCCGTCGAATATGGAGATATGGAAGCAGGACAGGACACTGAAGAACTCCCTGATGAACATCATACAGGGCAAGGTTGCAGCATCCAAGTCCAGCGATGTTGGTTATGGAGATGATCTCCTAGGCATGATGATTGAAGCCTCCGAAACAACCAAAGGTGCCAAGATGAACATGAATGAAATCATGGATGAATGCAGGACGTTTTACTTCGCCGGCCACGAGACCACCTCCAATCTTCTGACATGGACCATTTTCCTGCTTACCATGAACCAAGAATGGCAGCACAAGCTCAGAGATGAAGTGTTGAGAGAATGTGGGATGGAAATCCCAGATGCTGATTCACTATCCAAGCTTAAGTTGGTAAGCGATCATTTGTTGGTACTAGCTCATGAACATCATATTAGAACCTTTGAGTTGCCTTTTATTTAAGACATGAAACTGGGCTGACAAATGGTTAACTAACAATTTGTTTATCATGTTGAAGGTGAACATGGTACTGCTGGAGACATTGAGACTGTACAGTCCTGCCATAGAGCTGATGAGGATGGCACCACAAGACATGAAACTGGGGAAATTGGAGATTCCCAAGGGGACCATTCTGTCAATTCCCGTCCTCAAGATCCACAGGAGCAAGGAATTGTGGGGAGATGATGCAAACGAGTTCAAACCCATGAGGTTTGTGAATGGAGTCTCCATGGCTGCAACTCACCCCAATGCTTTCCTCCCCTTTGGAATGGGTCCAAGAGTCTGCATCGGCCAGAACTTTGCAATGATGGAGGCCAAATCTGTGCTTGCATTGCTTCTCCAGAGGTTTTCTTTCACTCTTTCCCCCGAGTATAAGCATACTCCTACCAACAACCTCACCTTGCAGCCACAGTATGGGCTTCCTGTCATTGTGAAGCCCTTATAAATTTTCAAGTCTATGTAAAGAATGGGAGATGGAAGTGGATAATTGTTGGAATATAAAAGCCTTGGTAAGGGCATTTATTGTTTATTAAGCGATTATTTGCAAACTCATTACTCACATTGCGAGGATATTGTGATTCAGACTGGGTCATATGCTCTTATAAAAAAAAAAAAATCTGTCACTTGCTACTACTGCACTTCTTTGGGAGATTCATTAATAACTTGAAAGAGCAAGAAACAAAATACTTTTCACCTTCTTCATCGGAAGCAGAATACAGGGCATTGACACAATTCTCGTGTGTGGAGTACAATGGTTAAAATCATTACTTGCATTTTATGGAAAGCCTCATCCAGAACATGTACAAATGTTCTGTGATGGGCAAGAGGAGAATGGGATTTGTGGAGTTAAGTGGCTTGAACAGATACTAGAGAATGTGATTATGTTATTACTTATTTCCCGCCATGAATGTCAGCGATTATGCTAGAGCTTGTTTGAACTACAAAATTTCATCGCAATTAGATTTCTCTGTTTAGGGAGTTAGAAATTCTGGCAATTTGGTGGTCTTGGGCTCTTGGCTTTCTTATGTAAGCTTAATTCGATGGTTTAATCTGACTTCCGTTGATTATTAGTTTCCTTGTTGCAAGCTAGTGGCTGGCAGGGAGATTGAATTCATTGTCTAGCAATCCATCAGTTGATGTCAGGTTATAATGCTTCTAAGTTTTTGTTTCAAGTTACACTTGTGGTGTACATTGAGCCATCCTGTTTTGAAAGACAAAACCTCGATTTCTAATCACTTTTTTGCTTAAGACATCAAGAATAAATTGTAAGAGGAAAATATTAGCAGCTTTATTTTGTCCAATACTTCCGTGTCTCCAGAGCATAAACTTCTTGTTTTATTGTTTACTATATGTTGCGGCTAGTTTGCCCTTTGCGGCGAGTGGAAGATAGCATCACAAATATGTTATCATGAAATAATTAGTGAACTCATACAATATAACTTCAAAAATTACAAGAAAAATCATTAAGATGTTGTGGGAGAGGTCCGTAGTAATTTTCATTCGCTGGCCAATAAAGTTATGAATTAGCGGACAACGATAAAAATATTTGGAACAAGACAACGGTTAATTAGAGAATTTACAAACTTTCTGCGTTTGAAATGAAAAATAACCGAGAGGAAAAAGGCGGAAGAATGTATCATCAAGTTCTTTTGGTTTCGATGTCACTTTTACCATTTTAAAGTAGAGCAAGAAAGAGATGAGTAACAATGAAAAACTAAATGCGAATAAAGAGGTCGGTTTCAACACAACAACAACAACAAAAAAAATTTGGCCCACTTAGTCGACACTTTAGTGTCCTTTAAACTTTAACTAGAGAAGCCCGCTTGTTGGGTTTCGCGTCAAGCGAGCAAATATGAAAGGTTGCATGTGATTGTAAGAGTGAATAAACTAAAATGTAAAGAACACTAACTCAAGAAACTGGAGGTCTATGAACTATGAAACGAAGTGTGACGAAGTATGATGACCGGTGACTAACGGTGAAACGAATCGTAAAGTTGGTGGTGAATATGAAAGAAAAGTAATTCGGGTAACAAACGTGAAAAATTTATGTAATTTGAATGAACAAATATGCCTATGTTTGGCCCGGCTTTTAGAAGTACTTTTCGGCTTCAAAAGCTGAAGCAGGGCCAAACACCTCTAAAAGCTTGGCTTTTGAAAAACCAAAAAACGCTTTTGTATAACATAAAAGCAGAAGCTCCGATTTGGAGTTTCTGCGAAAAGTTGTTTTGAAAATACAAGATTATCCTTACCATATTTTAATTTTATTTCAGAAAATATAATTTTTCTTCATTTATATCATTTTAAAAATAAAATATATTATAAATCATATTATTTAATATAAAAGAAATCTAACAAGATCCATTTTTACTACTTTTATTGTTTAGAAATTTTATTCATATTTTATATTATAAGTCCTTTATAGTCATTTTACACAACCGCTCATATTAAAAAGTACTTCTAATAATTTTACAGCCAAACACTAAACTGCTTTTTTTGAAAAATACTTATCTAAAAACTCCAGCCAGAAACTGCTTCTGCAAAACCAACAGTAGGACCAAACTAAGCTAGTATAATTTAGCCATTCCAAATTATTAAATTCACTACCCGGGCGGGCCTCGGTGCTAGTGAGTAGTGAGCTTTAATAATCTGGATTTTTTATAATAAGAATCCAGAATTGGGTTAACTAGTTGTGGGCAAAGTTAGCATCTCTCGAACTAATCAAGCAATTGCCCAAAGGGTATATGCGAACAACAACGAATGATGATATCAATTATCAATCAGTCTATGTATAAGGAATGCGTTAGGGTGGTAACTGAATTTCTAGTAGTCACCGTGGTTACATCAGTATCTACCATTTATTTTCTTCTCTTTCCTCTTTTTTTAATTTTAAGATTGTCTTAGGATAATTTTGGAAGAAAAAAAAAGACCACACTTGATTATCTATATATTTTTCCCTAACCCTACTTCTACAGTCAAACCTACCATAGCCTCAATCTCACACCCTCCCTGACGATGGCTTAGGGTTTGCGAGAGGCTGAGGGCCACCGCCCTCTCTTGCCTCCCTGTCCGCCAGCTTCTTCCTCGGCGGCGACCTGAGTTTAGAGAGGAGATCGATGCCGCCACCTTCCTTCGCTGCCAGCTCCCCTTCTTCATTCGTCGTCGCCTGCTTGTCCGACGACTCCTTCCGCGCCTCTTTCTCCGGCAGCCACTGGTTGACCATTCAAAAGAGATATCGGCGTCAAAGACGGGGAGAAAAAATCTTTTTCAACTATCTCGGCTTTTTGAGTCGCTTCCCGTGGGGGATCCAATGCTACAGCTCTCTGACCACCAGGCGGTATGGACAAACTCCGAGAGACCTGAGAAGGAACTGGCAACGGAGAAGCCACTGCTGTTGCTTGGCCTTTTGGAAATAATAATGGAGCTGAATGGCCTACTCCAAGAAAGCTCAACGGATTCCTCAGTGAAGGCCTCGGAAGCTCAACGGATCCCCCACGGGCGAGCCACCAGTCGGATCCGTGCTCACCCTCGTCTCCGCAATGCAAATCGGCAGCCCTGTGCCGCCTCTTCCCTCGTTGGTTCCTCTTGCGCAATGGTTAACGGCGCAACCTCCACCGTCTGTTCCATCATATCCGTCGCCCCGACTGGACTCGTCGTCCGGTGTGCGCCTAGGGATGTCGTGCATACCTCCAACAATCTTTTAAGGATTGGTATGTTTTTTTTTTTAAATGGTAGTCATTTTTTCGTAGTGGTAGTGTTTTTGTCGCATTGGTATTGATTTTGTTACATTGGTATTGATTTTGTCGCATTTGTAGTGATTAAATCTTCAATGGTATTGATGTTTTGTGAAATGGTAGTGTTTTTATTTCTCGAATGGTATTGATGTTTTGTACAATGGTAGTATTTTTTAATGGATTGGTGTTGATTTATTGTTTTGTTGTTGCAGCGGTATTAGTTTGGATGAACGAAATTAAGGAAAGATTGAGAAAAAGAAGGAAGAGAGATCTGGCTGAAAAATTGTAGAAGTGAGAGAAAGAGAGAGAAAACTTATATTTAATATATTTATGTAATTTCTTAAAATGTAATTTATTAAAAAAGATCATTAATAAATTTTTTGTTATACCCAGTTTGCCCTTAGTAACCACGGTAATCTTAGAATATATTAAAGCGCTTTCATAAAGAGACCCCATCCACGTCAACCGCGGAAGCACCACCGCAAATTTCGGACTTACATCTTTTTCCCCCTTTTTTCATTTGTTGCCGATTTTCCATATAAAATGTGCTTTTGAAATTTGAACAACGTTTCTTTTATTAACCCACGCATTATATGTATTGTTTTCACAGAGGTTCTTTTTTAATTTTTTGTGTTTTTTTTTAATGGATTTTTTGTGTTTAAGTATGACAATTGTTTAATTAGGTTCTTATGATAGAATAAATTCTCTCAATACATTTTAATCGGTTTCTCTGTATTTTATAAATATATTTTTTCGTAAGATTTTCAGATATTAATTCTAAGATCACATTTATCACAATATATATAAAATATTTTTTATTTTCCAGATATTTTAAAGTTTAAATACGTATGACAAGAACATCTCCTCTAAAATTTATAAATCCAAAGATTTAAGTTTTCATTCATGACCTCAAATGTATAATTTAGATAATTTTTACTATTTTGAGATTAAAATAGGACTGTAATCAACAATAAATAGATAGTTTAAATGTTAACACCAACGCATGCAAAACTATAACGTACCGACGGTCCGATCAAAAATCGTCTACTGAATCCCGAGTCGATAGGTAATTTTACTAATATGAAATCATTAAACTGTTGTTTAAGTATAAAATACTCTATAGCTAACTTTTCAGACAAAAACAACAGTATCATACTAAAATCAACCCGGCCAATGGCCGGTCACAAAAATTAGTGGTTCGATCTACAATTAATGTCTAGGTAAATATAATTTAATAATTAAATTTTTTATTTTAAATAAAATAATAATCATATTTTTTAAAAAAATTGCCAAATTGTCAATTTTTCATTCGGTTGACCGTAAAGATATAACCTACGGAAAAAGGGTTAATATTTTCGTATAACCTGAACTTTGACCAAAATAAACATCCTGGCCAATCTTTTCGATCTATAACATCCTGGCCCGAACTATACACAAAAATAAACAATTTGGCCAGATCCGAATTTTGACCGTTAACTTGGACGGTCAAACGCGTTGACCGTTAGTCAACGCGCCATGTCACTGCCAAGTCAGCATAAAATATTTAAAATAATTCACAATTTCCACACATTCCCTAATTTTAAATTATTATAAATTAAAAAAATCATTTAATACCTTAGTTAAACCAAAAATAAAAAACGAAACAAATTAAATATTTATAAGATCTTCTTACTTGACAGTGACGTGGCGCGTTTACTGTTAGTCAACGCGTTTGTCCGTCCAAGTTAACGGTCAAACATCGGGTTTGGCCAAATTGTTTATTTTTGTGTATAGTTCGGGCCAGGATGTTATAGAACGAAAAGATTGCCAGGATGTTTATTTTGGTCAAAGTTCAGGCCATACAAAAATATTAACCCACTGTGGCAAAATTTTAAATGAGATGAGGATTTTAGCTGATGTGGTAAAAAGTCAAACATTTGACCATGCCACATAGATATAACATAATTTTATAAAATATTTTTTTGTTTTCAGAAAAATAAAAATAAAAATAATTTAAGGGACTAATCTTTGCAGACGAGATCCACAAAAGCTACATACAAAAAACAGAGGTGTCTTTGTAACTTTTAACAAGAAAATGTTCGCCCCAAACCCAAATCAGATCTCCATAAAAGAAAAGGAAAAGGGGCCAATCTGGAAGACAACCCACGATTGAAACCAATCTCGCTATCGTCGTCCCAATTCCCATTATTGAAATTCTGGGCAATACTCCATCGGGTCGTACCGAAACCTGCTGGCGGCCGCCGTGGGCGATCTCCGTCTGTAGTGGGAGCCGCTTCCCCACAGAACCCTGAAGAAATTGCCGCAGCCGACAGCAGTAACTCCGATCGGGGAAGGTTGGTTGCAAAACTGTCGCCAAGAGCAGGCCTGACTCCATCTACCCTTCCGCTCCCCATATTCTCCTTAGCTGCGCCGCCAAAGAACCTCTCCACCCAGAAGATTCAAATCCCCACCACAGCAGCAGAAGCAGAGGGCGGAATTAGACAGAGAGACAGGGGGCGAAGGGCGACGGCTAGGGATGGCAATCAAACTTATGACCGCGAGTATCCGTCCACCTCCGATCCAGTCAACGCGAGAAATTTTTGCATTGACCGGGTATGGGGCGGGTATGGGTAAAACCCGCAAAGAACTTGATGTATATGCGGTGGGTATGGTTTTAGCGTCTCCCGCCCCATACTCATACCCAAATCCGCCCCATCAAAGTATTTTGCTATACGTAAAAAGCTATAAATATATTTATATAAATTATTATTAGCATAAAGATAATTACATAAGAAATCATGATTAAAATGTAATTGTATTTATCAAAATCCTTAAAATTTTCAACCCTCTCAGCCGGCTACCCAGTTACAGATTACTTTCTCAATTCTTCAATGCGCCGTCTTTCCTCTCCTAACTCCTGAATCATTTTGGAGATGTCCACCTTACCAAAATTGTTGATGAGATAGTAATAGGTCATTGCATATAATTTTTTTACATTTGAATTATTTTTATGCATATTGGTGTGACTGAGTGTGTTTGAATAATTTGTAGTCTACTAGACTTTAATCTTTTACAAGCAAAATAGGTTTTTGTCTAATTACTATAAAATAGTAATCACCGTAACCTGTCCTATGTGTATAATATTCAACCATTTTGTTCGCGTCATTCCTCCACTAATTCATATTTTATTGTTCTCCAAATACTGTGTACCTTTAAGCAGGGGCGGACCCAGGGGCATTTGGGGGTGTCCCTGGACACCCCTAAATTTTGGAAGATCGATTATCCAAACCCCGGTGTTAATTTACGTATAGACAAAAAAATTATAACTAATAGTCTGGGACACCCTAAAATTTGAAAACGATTATACTACTCTCGTTTGTAGTTTGCGTATGAGAATATAAGTGGTAGTTTGGGTAATTCAAACCCGGGGCACTACTATTACTAATAAATATAATTTCCATTAGGCTACAAATTTTTTGTTGCTATATTCTAAACACTGTGTAATAGCAAAACTCTATTCTCTATCTTTCATTATTTTCAAAACCTAACAATTAATCTAATTACAAGTTACCCTTAATTTATATTGATCTTATGGTTGTACGACACGTGTTGAAAGTGTTTTTTCAACTTTGAGTTACATCATGAACAAATTTAGAATTCAAATATGCGTAAGCTCGTGAATGATCGTCTAGTAGGATATACCGAGACAAATTTGTTGAGCAGTGTATACACCAAGTATTTTTTATAATTTGTTTAGAATATGAAAATACATCATTGACTTTTTTTTAACTTGTACGAGTTGGGTATTTTCTTACTAAATAATAATATAATTTTATTAATTATTAATTATTTAATTTTTATTTTACTTTATTTTTTAAAGAGGACACCCCTATGTGAATTTTCTGGGTCCGCCACTGCCTTTAAGATGGATCGTCAGCAGCAGAAACGCCAATGTCAAGTAGGAGCACAAATGCCAACCGCGGAATCGGTTCGTCCCTGATCACCAACCGATGATTACTTATTTAGGGCTCGATCTCTTTGGCCCAAAAGGGAATAATTTTGCAGATGTCAGATTCCCTATGCACACACCTACAGTTCTGTCGGTCCTCTATCCATATATGGTAACAACCAGAACCCAGAAAGCTAATAATACTGCAGACGAGAAGGAAAAAAATGGATTGTGGTGGTTCTAGTAGCAGCCAAGCTATGGCAGCTAATGTTGTGGGCACTGTTTTGGAAGCCGTATGCCTTGACCAAATTCTTCAGAAGCCAAGGAATCAGAGGCCCTCCTTACCGATTCCTGTATGGGTCCCTAGGAGAAATCAAGGAGCTCAAAAGGGACGCCAAGAAGCTGGTGTTGGACAGCTCCTCACATGACATCTCTCCTACTCCTAGAATTGTCCCTCACTATCACAAATGGTTCCCTCTCAGTACGGTCAGTCACTTGCTATTTGCCTTTTCTGTTCCTTTTCTTTCGATTGCATTCTGTACCAACCAGATGTACTAGTAAGTAGTAACACGCAATTGCAGGGGAAACTCTTGTGTATTGGCATGACCCTGAGCTGGTGAAGCAGATTCTGTCAAACAAGTTGGGCTTCTACGTGAAGCTCAAGTTCAAGCCTTCCCCCCGGTTGTGGGAAACGGGCTGGTGTTGCTGAGGGCTCGGCGGAGAAGGCTTCTCCGTCCTGCTTTCTCCATGGAAAAGCTCAAGGTCTCTCTGTCTCTCCCCCCTGCTCCTTCTTTCTTCTCCTCTGCCACTTACATTCTTGATCAGGCGCTAATTAATGGGAGAACGCTTGTGTTTGTTCATGGTGGCAGCCAATGATGAGCAAGATTGGATATGGTGGTGGAGTGGGGCAAACAAGCCTTCCTCGCTATGAAACAACTGCAACGACTCACAGTAGCGAAACTCGGCGGTGTACTCATCCCAGGAAGCCAGTAATTGCTAGACTAGTGCTTCCCCCAAATCTGCACACATATTTTTCAACAAGGCAGCAAATGAGCATTTGGTTTTTTTTTTTTTTTTTTTGGTCTTCAATTCCTCATGTATCTTCCAACACCCTCCAATATGGAGACATGGAAGCTGGAAAGGTTACCGGAAAACTTGCTGATGAAAATCATACGGAATAAGATAGCATCAAAGCCCCAGAATGGTGGTTATGGAGATGATCTCCTGGGCACGATGATTGAATAAATAAGTGAGATGGAGTGTTAGAGTTCTTTTTCGAGATGCCCTTTAACTTTTTGACATGACATTAACACAACATTTTTCATAAATGAATGGCAAAATACACATGTATAGCCATAAGCTTACACTTTGTGATAACAATAGCCAAATTTTGAAAAATACACAAATATAGCCACAATTTTGAAACTAGTTTGACAAATTTAGCCACTTTCGTTAAAAAAATTTAACGTCGTCAGTAATTCTGTGAGTAACGTGACATTACGCTGATGTGTACACCACCTCAGCACCCACATCATCTCTCAGTCACCATAGCATGCCATGTGTACTGCCATGTCAGATTAAAAAAATATTATTTATTTTAAAAATTATTTATAAAAAAATAATTATTACTTTGTGCCCTTAATTATGAAACACAAAGTAGCTACTGGAGTTAGAGGATTATGTTCCGATTTTTTCGAGGAAGTCTACGATGGAGATAGCGGGGATTAGGTTTTCCGTTTCTCGATCTGGGTTTTCAGCTTCTTACTTCTCTACCGCTTCGCCTCCCTCCCTTCCCCACCATATACAGAAATAGCACAACGTATCCTTCGAAGCTTTTCTGAATCCAGATGCAACACCACCAGCAAAAACCCACCTCGGTCGTCACCTTCTCCCCGATCTCACCCAACTTCAATTCGTACTCCAACTTCGACGACGAAACCCTTGTCGAGCTACAGTAGTGCGATTCTTCAGCTACGACGACGGGGCATCTTCTACAGTCGTCCACAGTGCTTCAATGACGACAACGATTGGGATTCTTCAATCTCAATTTCTGGAATTTTGAAGGAGTATGTCCGCTGGAGATAGTGAGGATTGGATTTCATTTTCGCAAAGATCGCTTGCTTAGAAAGCGAACGGAGCTTCTAGATCTGCTCTCAAGGAAAAGAAAGGCGGAGCCGAGTCGCAACCACTGCCGTCAACCAACTTTCCGAGCGCGAGCTTCCTTCTCCTCTCCGGCTTTCGCCTTTTCTCCCATCGGTTTACTCCTTACCTCGCACACAAATACCTTTATCTGGTTTAATGGCAAATCGATGCCGAGAGAAAAGGGAGTGCGATTGGCGTTCTTTCTTTTTGTTGGTAGGAATCGATTTGGCGTTCTTTACTTGTCTGGGTAAAGGGAAGTGGGGAATTGGGTTGAACTTCACCATCGAAGAAAGAGGAAGATGGAGAAGGGGGAAAAGGTTTTAGCAATTTTCTATTAATTAAAAAAATGATAATTTCAATCTGACATATCTTTTTATGAAAAATTGACACGTCAGTAAAAATTGTTAGTCCAGTCAGCATTAATTACTGTTCCGTTAAAGTTATTGACGAAATGGCTATATCTGTGTATTTTTCAAAATCGAACTATTATTGTCACAAAGTACAAATTTATGGCTATACAAGTGTATTTTGCCTAAAGGAATACTCGAGCAATAAACATGTTGTTTAGATAAACGAAAAAGAGAAAGATAATTGTTTTTAATGAGCATCGAGTGAAAGTGTAGTTGTAGTCCTATACAACAAACCATATACACTTCATCGTTTATGTATTTATTTTTTATATAAATACATACATTTCATATACATGTAACTCAAATTTATTGTTTGGATATTTATTTTTTCAATTATAAGTTTTTTGTTAAACGATACAATTATTGGGTAATTATATTTTAGTATACCAAATTTAAATTCTTACAAATTAGAACCTAAACTTTATTTTTTATACAAACAAGTCCAGAAATTTTTGTGGTAATATTAGAATTTAGTACCTTTATATATTTAATATTGCACTATAGTTCCCAAACTTTTAAATTTTTTATAAAAAGGTCGAATATGTTGTCATGAAAAATTTCTAATCACTAGTTGTTTATATTTATTAAAGTCATAAATAATACACTCTGATACATATTTAAAATTCACTTATATATTTGGTACAAAACCAAATATCATATCTAATTAGTATCCAAACAAAACAAAAAAAAAAACATTTGGAATTCCACGTATCAAATCCAAATCCTCCTATCCAAACAAACCCTTAAAATTTGGTGACTGATTTGCTTGGCAACTCAAAGTTTAGTAGCTAACTAGCTATTCGATGAGTGGCCCAGACAGAGTTTGGCGAAGCGGAGGCGGAAGTGAGTACGGTCTGCAGTAGGGATGGCAACAAAACCCGAACCCATGGGTACCCACTCGACCCAGCCCGGTCAACGCGGGTAAAACCCGTGTGGACGGGTTTTGGGTCGGGTTCGGGTTTAAACCCGCTACACTATTCACCGGGTTGGGTTTGGGTTTAGGTAAACCCGCCCCATGGGTATCCGCCCACACACATATAATTATTTTTCCGGTATATTTAATATTCTAAATAATATATCTTCCTTAAACAACTAATATCTATATGTTTGTGGAGACATGTATAATTTGTTCTTTCTAATTGTTTAAAATGAAGTTGATATGATGAAGTGGAGAGTGAAAAAACTTAGTTGACGAGGAAGAATATTCAATTAATCTTATTGTTTATATATGTTTATCTTTAATTTTGAATAATTTGTATTGATCATTTGCGCTTTGCTTGTATGCTCTAGATTGGTGTTTTTTGTATGATTAGTTTGTATGAGAAAATTGATATTAAACTTTTATTTTGAAAGAAACTTGTTATTGTAAATTTTTAACACAAAAACCCACGGGTACCCATGAACCCACGGATACACAACGGGTTGGGTTGGGTTTGAGTTTTTCAAACTCAACAAGTTTTACCCAGATTTTTTTGGCGGATAAACCAAGGATTTGGGTTTGGGTTTGACCCAACCCGACCCATTGCATTCTGCGGTTTTTGCTTAGGGTTGAGCTGTAACTCGGCGTCTGAAGGAGAAATAACCCAGTAGTAGCGAAAAAGGAGAAACCGGCGATGGGAAGCGAGTCGAAATCCAGCGGCAACACCGCTCCAAATGGCGGTGGAGGAGGAGGGTTCAAGTCGAAGTTAGAACATGCCATGTACAGTGGAGACAAGAAGCATGTATTGGCTGGGATCGCTGTCATATCTGTCATCTTCGGCATCCCGTGGTACCTCATGAACAGAGGTTCGACAACTCACGCTCTCCTCAGCCTATTCGCTTGCTGTAATTTGCTGCTGTTTATGGGATATAATAGCAGAGAATGAACTGGAAACTTGAGCTGATTAGGAAGCCTGTGTCTTGATTATGGTTAGTCTGTACTTGCCATCATTTCTCCTTGATTAGAATGTCGGAGTTGTTTGGGTGACAAGTTTCCAATTTTGTAACGCTTTTGGTGATAGGATTCGTAAGGTCAAAGAACAATGTGTTGTGAATGTTAAAGAAAATTGGAATTTCTGGGTAGGTTTTAGGTCCTTGTTACTTTTTCTTTGGTGATGAACGTCACAAATGCAAATTCTTGATTCTCTGTGGGAGCTCTCTTTCTTGAGGTTCCAAGTTAGCTGAAGAGATTGGTAGTATAGTTTCAGATGTTCTGTGTGGATTATGGTAAGGCAAGGAAGCATTATATCTGTTTATAAGGAGGGACTATGAGGGATAGGGCAAAACTGTTTATAAAGGAGAAAGATGCTTCTTTGCTTTATATTTAGGGTTTGATTGAATCTTGATTAGCTGAAGGGATGATGTTTAGTCTGACCCCCAAGGTATGGTCGAGTTCAGTGGCTAGAAAGATCAAGATGTTGGTAGTTTAGTGGCTAGACAGGTTCTTGATTCTCCATATCCCTTAAAATTCCTATGGTGCTATCTTTTCATGAGCAGCTTAATGTCATGAGTCATGAATCTGATGCTGTATTGTTGTTTTTTGCTTGTTGAATTTTACAAGGCATGGCATCTTATTTGATAAACTTCTGTACTGAGTTAATTTTTGGGGTTTGCAACATGAACTTATAGGAAATATATATTTTCACTTTCATAAAAAAAAAAACTTATAGGAAATATGAATGTAGTTGATATTCATTCAGAACTAAGTCTATGATAGCTTTGTGTATGATTTATCTGCCAAGTTGATCTGGTATTTTATGGAAAGTATATGTACCTGATTATCAGAATGGATGATGGTAGTTTTACCAGAGCTATTGTATGGGGAACATCAGTAGTTATAAAGATCATCATGTTGAAATTTGGATTTGGCATTTTATAGTAATCTTTTGTTTTGTTCCCTATGCAATTTGTAGGAATATGTTTGAGTTTGATAGGTGAGGATTGTCTTCAAAGTTCCAACTTGGGTCTCAGTTTTGGTAGGAAATTTGTCTTCTGAAAATTGTTTTACAGATTCTTAATTTCGTAATAGCTGTACCCTAAGTTCTTGAGGTCTCGGTTTCGAGGAGTGAATCTGTCTTCTCGGTTGGACACTGAGTGTTTGAAGGGGGGAACTTTTTCAGTACTTCATACTGATTCTGGAATTGATCAATGGACATTTGGCTCGTTTGTGCTTCTAGCTAGCTTGAGATTTTAGCATCCTGGGATGTGATTCAGAAGGAAAGTGTTGTTTGGACTCTTTGATGGAGAAATTAGTAAATCTTACATGTTTCTTCAATCCCGATTTGCATAAACTTGGAATAATCGTCTCATTTCTAGTTGTTTATGAGACTCAATTTTGAATTCTAAATGACCAAAAAGGTTATGGCAGCTGTGTAAGTGTAAATCAAAACTATGTGTTCTTTATTACTCTCCATGGTCTCATAGTTACTTGACTGTTGAGCTTGCAGTTTCTGTACATTCAAATCTTGGTTCTATTGTTCCAATCTTATCATCTAACGTCTTTGAAGGAGTAGCTTGTACTTTGATGCCAATCTGCTAGTACTTTACCACTAGCAGTTAATGAATGTTGGCTGGCTGGCTGCCATTATCATGCGATTTACCCAAATATGTGAAAAAAATTGTGCAGGGTCAAAGCATCAGTCGCATCAAGATTACATGGATAAGGCTGATAGAGCACGGAAGGCAAGACTTTCATCTGGTTCTTCTGCTAGCTAATCTTAGCAAAACCTCAAAAAACCCTTCCGATGGGTATAAGCACTTGTTCTTTGCATAGCACAATAGTTAAGTCGTTTTGACTGAGACAAGAGTCAGCTATTAGTCGAGGTTTCTTCACTGCGGCTACTCCGGTTGTTTTCGTTTCAGCTGGCTGTCAGCAGATCAGGGAATAAAGCATACATTATTTTGTTTTGGTGTGCAATGCTACCACCACCTGAAAATGGAGAAATGGAGATTTCATGTTTAGGCCACTGTATGTGGACCATTCTTCTGCAGTGTAACCAGCAGCTGAAAAGTTCCTCTAGGTTCTTCAAATAACCAGAGTTTAGTCTCGGCCAACAGAATTGGCTGCTTGCAATTACTTGTAGCGATTTTGGATTCTCGTACGAGAATGTCTGATGTACGTTGAACCAGACTGTATTTGACGATTCAGAGAAAGTTTGGCTAGGATGCCCGTGGGTTCATTGTCATCCGAGCTCGAAAGTAAGGGAAAGGAAACGTCGTAGGAAGCATCATAGCCATAGTCCATAGAATATAGACACTTTGAGCTTGAGAAAAAAAGCTTCTTTATTCGCCTTAGGCTATGAGGAGGGACCACGAGGTAGAAGGTAAAAGAAGGCAAGAGGTAGAAGGGCCAGTGTTAAGGGCGAGTCTTACGCCGGGCGAAGGTTTAGAAATGTGAGCCCGAAGGTTTAGAATATGTTCGACCGTAGGGAGAAAGAAAATGAATAAGAAAAACTTTAGCAGAAGGAAAGAGTATTCTACGGGGATAAGGGACCCCCAGGCTTTCTGAAAATAAAAGAAAAGAAAGAAGATCCTCCCATGTAGTTCGTCGGTTAAACCAACGATTCTCTACCTAAATTTATAGTAATAGAGAGATCTTTTTCTAGTTAAATGCGACTTGCATTTGAACTTCAAAGATCATATACATTTTGCAAGATCCACATCAAATCTGAAATGCTGATTGTGAAGTGGGCACAAAAAAGCCATCAAAATTCAAATGAGAAAGGATCAAAGGATACAAAGAGAAAAAGAAAAGGCACAGATCCCCTAATCATGAAGGTTTGGGCTTTTTGGAGGAGCAATGCCGTTTCAACTTTAAAACAAAGGGAGGGCATACTGGTCCTTTCAATTCAAACTAGGCCTTCTTCCCCGTCTCTGAATCCTTTAAACGTCGCCGTCAGCAGTTCTCTTCTCACTGCCTCGGCGAAGTGGTTGTCGCGCGCTTAGCCGCAGAAAGAAGGAGAAGCGGAGAAACCAGTTACACCGGGCGACTTATTCAGTCACAGATCCAGAGAGAGAGAGAGAGAGAGAGAGAGAGAGAGGGAGAGAGATTCGGGAAGGAAGAGAGGTTATGAAACCCTAGGCTTGGTTTTGAAAAATGGTGGGAACGTCACTGGCTGGAGTGCAAGATCACTTGAAATTAGCAAGGGAGTACGCTCTTGAAGGCCTCTACGACACTGCCATTATTTTCTTCGATGGCGCCATTGCTCAGATCAACAAGTAATTCTTCTTGCTCTTTTCCATCTCTTTGCCTTTGCTCACTGGAGCCTTCCCTTTTTGCTTTTCCTTTGTTCTCTTGGCTTGCAATGCTGAATCTGTATCAGATTTGCCTGCTTTGAAATTTTATTGTTTTCTTCTATTCTCGTTAATTGGTTAGTTTAATCAAGGATTCAAGCGGAAATGGTACATTTCGAGCTGAAATTTGCGTACCGAGTTTATACTCGTTTCCACATTGCATTCAGTTCGAATGCTTTATTTGAATGTTATAGTTGCTCTCTTATCGGATTTGGTTGGAGCTTGTTAAGATAAAACTATGCATTCTGTAAGTGGGAAATGATTATTGTTTGAACTAGATGCGTAAATGGGTTCTTTTTTCTGTGTGAGAAACACTAATAGGCATAAGGTAGCTAGTTTTGCAGATTGACTTGTTTTCCATGCTTGTGAAATTTAATATGTTGCTTATCTGGGATGCTGGTCGAGGCCCTAGTTGTACAGAATTTGAATTGTCTGCATGATCAGCTGCTTGGTTGAATCTATTCATGGTAACATGTTATCGATGCCTCTGATTCAGGCACCTAAACACACTTGATGACCCCTTAGTTCGTACGAAATGGATGAATGTCAAGAAGGCCATTTCAGAGGAGGCAGAAGTTGTGAAGCAGTTAGATGTTGAAAGAAGATCATTTAAGGAAGCTCCTGCCACACGCCGTCCTGCCTCCCCACCAATCAATACTAAATCATCATTTGTCTTCCAACCTTTAGATGAGTATCCAACCTCTTCTGGTGCTTCTATGGATGATCCTGATGTGTGGAGGCCACCAAGTCGGGACAATTCAACTAGGAGACCAGGAAGGGCTGGCCAAGTGGGGATGAGGAAATCACCTCAAGATGGAGCTTGGGCACGTGGGGCTTCAACTAGAACAGGACCAGCTGGCCGTGGTGGAAAGATTACAGCTTCAAGCAAGGTGAATACCGGTGTCCGCCCATCAACTGCTGGAAAGAAGACCACTGCAGCTGCTGGAAAGTCTGGCAAGGCAGATTCAGTTGTGAGTTCCATTAACACACGGGAAATTTTCCTATATTTCGGTCTATATTTCAAGTGCCTTGGATTCTTTCTAGTCCTTTTATTCTTAGATAAAACAAGAGGATGTTTAGCTTTGCTCCACTCATTTCTCGTAGGTTTAGGAGTGGTTGATTCAATACTTTGAATCTTGGAGATGTTAGTTAATTACAGTAGCAAGAACTTCGTACAATTCCATTTGGGTTGTCATTTGGATGCTTAATTTCACATTGATTCCTTTTCCTGTCAATCTGGAGCTATGACCATTTTGACCTAACATCATCTCTGCATACATGTTCTTTAGATTGAGGATGTTGAAGATGGAAAATCTAAGAAGGCCCAATACGAAGGGCCAGATGGAGACTTGGCTGCAATGCTTGAAAGGGATGTCTTAGAAACAACCCCTGGGGTGAGATGGGATGATGTCGCTGGACTGAGTGAAGCAAAAAGACTTCTGGAAGAAGCTGTGGTCCTTCCTTTATGGATGCCTGAATATTTCCAGGTATGCTCAAGAGATTATAGCAAACTGGAGCATTTTCATGAGTTTGGTTTCAGCATTGTATTCTCTAAATCAACATCCTTTAGCTAACATGGCAATTTCTTTAATAGTAGACTTATGATCCTCCATGCTAATACTGCTACTCTTTAACTTTTCTGTATGGCAGGGCATTAGAAGACCATGGAAAGGTGTCCTTATGTTTGGTCCTCCTGGTACGGGAAAGACTCTACTCGCCAAAGCTGTTGCTACTGAGTGTGGTACAACATTTTTTAATGTTTCATCTGCCACCTTGGCTTCTAAATGGCGGGGTGAGAGTGAGCGTATGGTTCGATGCTTGTTTGACCTTGCACGTGCATATGCACCAAGCACCATCTTTATTGATGAGATTGATTCTTTGTGCAATTCCAGAGGGTAAGGTTGTTTCCCCAGTTTTGATTTCTTTTAAGCTAATTACATTGTTATGCCTCTGTGTTTGACTGTCTTTTTGGTCAGTGGCTCATGTTTCACTATGCGAGGCTTTGTGTATGGTGAAACAGTAAACCTTGATGAGAGTAATGACTCTGGTTAACTGAATTAACATCTATTGTTCAGTGCTTCAGGGGAACACGAGTCATCAAGAAGAGTCAAGTCTGAACTTCTAGTTCAAGTTGATGGTGTAAGCAACAGTGCCACTAATGAAGATGGAACCAGGAAATTAGTGATGGTCCTGGCAGCTACTAATTTTCCATGGGACATCGACGAAGCTCTGAGGTATTGCATCTTTCCTTTTGTGTATAGTTTATTTTTCGTGTCTGAGCTGTTTACATTTGTTACCTATAATTATGATAATGCAATGCAGGCGGAGATTGGAAAAGCGTATTTATATTCCACTTCCAAATTTTGAAAGTCGCAGGGAGCTTATTAAGATAAACTTAAAAACCGTGGAGGTATGTTCTGTCAAATCCAATATTCTTATAATTGATTTTTTCTGTTTGATTTTGTGCGTGTTTTGCATCATACTTTCAACCAGTTTGTGGAAAAATTAGCTGAAGCCATGACATCTGAATTCAGTTAAACCCAGATGAGAGATAATCATGAATATCGATCTATCTAGGAAGGAATGTAGTGAATGACATGAAACTAAAGAAAACCAAAGCTGAGGGGAATGCAATTTTGGTGACATCAATGGACTTCCAACAGGAGAATTTTCATTTCAATTCTCAAAGAGAATCTAGTTCTAGTCCTGTGAGATAGTGGACCTAGCTGGAATTTCAAGTAGATGTAATATTTGGGAACTGTAGGCTTCTTGAATCATAGGCCTGAACACAAAGCACACTTTGTCTCCCTAGCAATCGAATCATGGGCTCTGGATAGGTCGGGTGCTCATTTCCCACCTCTTCCTATAAATGATAAGAAATAAGTAAATAAATGAAAACTAGAAAACAGATGCAAAAGCTTGTTCATCTGTGTAGGGTATTGCGAACATCTGGACTGAGTCAGCCACCGTTTTACTAAATATCAGTCTTCCCCTGGCGTGCTTTGATTTGTTGAAAGTGATAGAGCTTTCTAAATAATCTCTTATGCAAGTTTCTGGTCTTGGGTACTTTTACGCGCTGCAGATAGTTTGCTACAATCCCTCTCCCTCTCCCCAATGTTCAAGAAGACGCTGGGCGCCACCTAGGCGAGGAGGCACCGCCCAGCGCCCAGGCCGATTAGTCATTGCCTAGGCGAGATTAAACGTAAAAAAAAAAAAAATGATAAATATGTAAGTTTAGAGTGCAAGATCAAACATAACATTCATAAGTTCACTGATTTGCAGTTCTGTAACTGACAATATTCAAGATAACAATCATTCAAGTAGTAACATAGAAGGAAACAAACATAATAAAACATTACAAATGTTAAGATAAGCCATAAAGGCGATGACAAGTTAATAAACTCCAAGTTGATCACTCATCATCTTCATCTATATAGTTCTTGTTAACCACAACATCCTCCTCGAAATGAATGGCCTCACTTTCCTCGTCATCTTCTTCTTCAGACTCAAACTCCTCATCGGCAAGGTCTCTCACTAATCTGGCACTCCTGCGAGGTTGAAGATTCTCACTAGCTCCCCTTGCCTCATCAATAACATTCCATGGAATGCCATCGAAACCTTCATCATCTTCATCACCAAACACATGCAAAGTGTGACTATCTCCTCCCTCAAATAGAAAGCCTTGTGCTTCAATTGAATCGGAACTTATGAGAACGTCAACATTCTTCCTCTCTTTTATCTTCCTTTGCTTGGACATCAATCTAGAGTTAAACTGGATGTACACTAGTTGATTCATGCGACTAGTAGTAAGCCTATTCCTCTTCTTGGTATGAATCTGCAAGGACAATTGATTATACAAGCTTCCATCTAATATCTACTTTTACTATATAGCATATGGACACAAATTCAAAACTACTAACCTACTCAAAAGTACTCCAGTTTCGCTCACAAGCAGAAGAACTTGAGGTCAATGACATAATCCTTATAGCCATCTTTTGCAAATGAGGTGTCTCACTTCCATACATTCTCCACCAAGCCACTAAGAAATTAATTAACTCTAAGTTAGTGAACGACACTAAATCATAAGTTACAAGGAAAGGTGGAAAGAAGTACTAACCAGGATTGTAGTCAAAGTTTACACAATTCTTTGCCATCTTTTTTCCAAAGAGTCCTTGTTTCCTTTGAAATTTTGTGAACTCTATGTTCACCTCCTCATCATGTATATCCTCATCACAACCATGGTAGAATTGCTCAACACAAGTGATCAATGATGTTGTAATATCGGCATTGTCAAATATTGAGGAGTCGGCATAACTGTAGTGAGGATTGAGAAGATATGCCGTTAGATGCAATGGAGCATCAAGTCTGCCTCTCATCTTCTTCTCCACAATAGCAATGACTTCTTTGTAACGAAGCTCTTCATTCTTAAACGCCTCCTTTATCTCTCTCTTTGCCTTCAAAAGTTCACCATACACAAAACCCATAGAAGGTTTCACATCCCCATCCACTAATCGGAGAAGCTTCACCAATGGCTCAAAGACTTTCAAGCAAATTTCCACACCATTCCAAAACCTAACACTAAGAACCGTGTCATAAGCCTCCTTGGCTTTCTTTGAACTGGTCTCCTTAATATTTTCCCACTTCGCATCCACCACCATCTTCCTCGAAGAATCTTTCTTATCCAACAAACTTTGTAGAGTAAGAAATTGAGAAGCAAATCGAGTCACACCTGGTCGGATGATCTCTCTCTTTTTGGTGAAGGATCTCATGCATTCCAAGGTGCGGTGGTGGCCATATATGAAGATGGTGAACCCCTTAGCTTGATCTACAATTTTCTTGAACCTTGGTATGTTGCCGATTCCTTGTAGCATCAAATTGATGGTGTGGGTTGCACAAGAACTCCAAAATATGTTCGGCCTCTTCTCCAACAAGAGGGCCTTTCCTGCCATATTGTTGGAAGCATTGTCCGTCTTCACTTGCACCACATGTTCAGCTCCAACTTCCTCTATTGCATTGTCCACTAGCTCAAAAATTACTTCACCTGTGTGAGAAATCGCTGATGTGTCCTTCGACTTTATAAAGCTGGTTCCCTCAGCACAATGTGTGACTATGTTCATGATGCTTCTCCTCTTCATGTCTGTTCAAGCATCAGTCATAATAGAGCAACCATTCTTTTCCTTCTCCGCCTCTCGATCACTTAACAAGCTCTTAGTCCTTGCATACTCAGCTTTCAACAAAGGCTCTCAAAGCTCATACTGTGTAGGAGGCTTCAATCCAGGACCAAATTGACCAATAGCCTCAACCATTTGCTTGAACTCATCATTCTCAATGGCATTGAATGCAAGAGCTACAAAATAAATTCAGGAGTAAATTAGAAAAACAAATTGTACATCTAAGAAAGAAGTAAAGGGTATAGCTATGCACTAACCATGTGTGTACACCCATTTTGCAATATATTGATGCACTTGAAGTTTTCTCTCATTAAAAAGTGCTTGATTTATCTTTTGTTGCTGAAATGATGCACTCGAAGACAAGCTAGGATCAATGGCACGTGCCCACTTGTCTATAGGACCTAACTTGTGAGGTTCAGAGCTACCTGCACAAGTGAGGTCTTCTTCCTGTTGTCCACCGGAAGAGACATTAACATCACTTCTCAAACCTAGCTCACGAACAACCTTATCATGCTTCTTCTTTTTTGTTCCTTCCAACCAAGCCAAGCATGCCAATTTAGCTTCATTTGGGCAACTCTTACACTTGGCAACTCCACCACCAACCTGAGCAATGTGTTTCTTGAAACAGTTAATTCCTCCTGTGTTTACATTCTTGCAAAAGTTACACATGATTCTATCTTTGTTGTTTGGATCGATGAGCTTTTCATATTCCCAACCAATATCATCAGACTTCCTCTTCAAAGAGTTCGCATTTTCAACCGTTGAAGCCGTGACAGTAGCCTCTGTCTGTTCCATTTAACCAAAACAAGCAGCCCTGTAATTGCAAACACACATTTTCAGCAGCAAGTAGCAACCAAAATAAAAGCACTAACAGTAATGAAACGAGTAATGGAAGCTGAGAATGAAATGAGTAATCACAACCAAAATAAAACTCCTATTTCTTCTGAACTCACAATAATGAAACGAGTAATCACAATTCACAACTAAAATAAAACTCCTATTTCTTCTAAACTCACAATAATGAAACGAGTAATCACAAGTTCACAACAAAACCGATTCTCTCCTCTGTACACCTGCTTCTAACAGCCGATTTCTTATGAACTCCCAGCAGTACCTCCTCTACGTCTTCGTTCAGGGTCTCTTTAACCAAGCGGCTGTCGAGGTCGAGAACGGCGATGCTGGTGCTGGCGGGGACGGCTGGGCGGCGATGCTGGAGAATTCCCGCGGTCGGCTGGGCGGCGATGCTGGAGAATCCCCGCGGTCGGCTGAGAGCTGCGGCGATGCTGGAGAATCCGCGCGGTCGGCTGAGAACTGCAGCGATGCTGGAGAATCCCCGCGTAGCTGACCGACGAATCCCCGCGCAGCTGGCGACGAAGGCTGATGCTGGAGAAGGCGGCTAGAGTTGGAGAGGAGGGATGAAGGCTGCTTGCTGTTCCCTTGCGAATTGCGATGGTCGATTGATGATATTAGGGTTTTACCCTTTCTGCCCAGCATCCAAAACGCACAGCTTAATAACAATTTTTTTTTTCCTGGGCGTCGCCCACCGCGTGTAATCGCGGATCAAGGCTTGGAATCGCCGCCTAGGCATTCTTCGACGCGATTCCGCGTTTATGGCGCCCAGCAACTTCGCCCAGCAGTAATCTCCAAGAATCCTTCTCGCCCAGCTAGTAAACGCACCTAGGCGAGCGCCTAGGCGAGTGTTCTTGAACACTGCCTCTCCCTCTCCATTTTTATTTTCTTTCTTCTTTTTTGTCCATTGCCGTAATGGGTTTTTCATGCAGCAGTTACCACTTACCACCAACTCATGTGTTTGCATATCTTAGGTTTCTGTCGATGTAGATATCGATGATGTGGCTCGGCGGACAGAGGGGTACAGTGGAGATGATCTTACAAATGTGTGCAGGGATGCTTCTCTCAATGGGATGAGGCGCAAGATAGCTGGAAAGACACGAGATGAGATCAAGAACATGTCCAAGGACGAGATTTCCAATGATCCGGTGGCCATGTGTGATTTTGAGGAGGCTATTAAGAAGGTTCAACCTAGCGTTTCCCAAGCCGATATAGAAAGGCATGAGAAATGGTTTGCTGAATTTGGATCGGCATAATGGTGGAGCTACAGTAAGGAAGCTGGTTTGATTTGCAGATCATAGCCGTCGTATATGTGTACCCTATTATCTTCCTCTAATTTTGTGGTCTGGTCTTACTCGTTTATTGTAATTCTACTGTGTAATCTTTTCTGTTCGTCCATAGTTGTGCTATTCCTCACTGCGTAAACTCACTTCCCTGCAAATGTAATTCAGTTGCTTATAGTTACGGCCTCTGAGTCGTGAATTTCTGGACCTGATGGAGTGAACTACGAGTTTAAGGTAGTAAAGAAACTGGTTTTGTTTGACCATAATGTTTTACCCTTGTTTTATTTTCCTTCTACTTTCAGATGGAAGTAAGCTAAAGCTATGGCGTAAATTCTAGGCAAAACACAACTTGGTGATCAAATCGCCGACTTTCGTGAAATGTGATCAGATGGTTTTCTAAATATTAAATACTGCCCAAAAGTACTAAAGTGGTAACAAAAATATCAAATTTTGGTTAAGTCGTTTATACTTGCAATCTTCAGATATGCATTCTTGCCAAATTCAGATTCTTAGTATGGTTTTAGCTATCCAAACCAATCAGATATGCATTCTTGCCAAATTCAGATTCTTAGTATGGTTATAGCTATCCAAATCAATATTAACCAAACTAAATCAGAATTCTAAACAATACTATATACCAGCCGATAGGCACAATGTAAATCTGGGTCCAAATCACGACTTGACGAGGTTAGCAGAATCATATATGTAGCAAAAAATAACCGTCATCTAGACGGGGCTTGTTCGTGATTAGATTATTTTGACTTTCAAGCACAACTTTGCGTTTATTTGACAATGAGAGTCTTATGTTCTCTCTTTTATGAAAAACATGCCGATTTTTGTACTTTTTGCAGTACAAGTGAGTTTATTTTGCAGTTTTGATCAAGCAAGAGCAATTTCTATGCCTTAACACTCATACAAGGACTTTGTTCAACTCCTTTTTCTCGATCCACGTGAAGAGGCCATGCATAATTCTCAAACGGTAATTCAATTGGCGAGGGATTGTACTAGATAAGCAACATCGTACGTGCCTGAACCGATGCTCAGTTGAACCGTTCCTATTCCTTCTATCAAATGCGAGTGATTGTCTCACACCTGACTTTTACCCAAAACTTCATTTGTAAAGGCAACATCTTTTATATAATTTTTTTAGGTAGAATTTCGAATGTATATAAAGATATAGTTCAACCCCAACAAACTTCAAAGAGTAGGAGACTCCTTGGAAGAGTATAAGAACTCATAAAGGATAGTGATAAGCAATGCATACGAACATTTCAAATGGTCTTTAGTCACATGATGAGTACCTTCTTCATGGCTACTATACTGGTCTCCGTATATCATGTATTAATACAGAGACTAGCAATTCAAAGTAAGATGCGATTTGTAATTGCTTTTGGGAGTGCGACATTATTTCCAAAAGATTGTAATTTTTGTTGAAGCGCAATGCACATACAATCATTCCCCATACGCATGATATTAAGTCTAGGAGGATGCATGGAGGAGCAGTCTACAAAACCTACCACAAAAATTTAAATAGTTCTATGTCCCCATTGGTCCAAACAAAACAACAAGGAAAAGTAGAATGAATATACTGGTCGTTGGAATGATCCATGCACAATAGGGTAGTTCCTCTTGCTTATTGGCACATAACTAAAAATGAAGAAAAAGAAAAACAGAGATAGCAAGTACGTCATCTCCTCAACCTATGACAAAACACCTTTGAAAGGTTTGCATAGTATCATCTAAGTTATTAAGAAATTACTCTTTAGTGATACCCTATTAATGTTGCACGAGTATAAAGGAGTGATCAACCATCTATACATTGAGTAGTACCAAATCTCGATTGTTAGATTATTGATGATATGGTCGATAATAGACCATCGATTATGACTCAAGAGGCCAACACTTAATTATTTGCTATCCTAACTTCCTTATTCTTCATTAATTAGGTAATGACATGAAGCGAAAACACACATTAGCTAGTTAAATCTCTATCGCAAGAGGCACATGCACGAGTAGAGAATGACCTTGGTAATTTCTAACTGTCATCATATATTCACTTAAGTCATTCTTGAATTTTGAAAGCTCTAACTGATTGCCAATCGTGGGTCTGATTAGAAATAAAATATGCTAGAAAAAGAACACAAGGATTTACTTGGTTCACATTACATATATCGAGAAGCTATATATATCACTTTCTCCAGACGATCTAATCCGAATCCAACATGCAAAGATAAAAGGTTACAGACAATGCCTAATACAGTTAAACAACTCCGTATAAGCAAATACAACGAGACCCTAGTGAGTTCTGATCGACGGTAGATAATCTGTATTCAAGCCACAACAACAGTTTTTTTTATGATTAGATGGTATTAATTTTTTTTATAAGAAATTGACTGAGATGATAAAATAGGCATTTCTACAATCATTCATAAATTGTGAAAAATTGAAAATGGACTATGTTTTGAATTGAGAAACTTCATATAGTGGGATGTGAGAAATATGCTAATAGCGATCGGAAAGAATAAGAACGCGACAACGATGTACGTGGTATCCCCGACGAGTCGGGACTAGTCTGCGAGAGAGTTGTAAGCTCTCCGGCTACTGATTTTATTAAGCTGTGGTTGTGTTCGGCAGAAGCCGAGAACAATGAATATTTATACCCTTTTCACAAGCATCTAGGGTTTTAGTGTTCCTTTCATTCTCCATATTCATTACGTAAACCATGCCCACAAAGGAAGACACGACAGGGGCTGCATGAGAATGCGTGGGCCGATCCGTGGGCTTCGTAGGAACGGTCGTGGGCTGCGAAGTACTCACGTCCAATACTCCCCCGCAAGCTGGAGCGTGAAGATTTCGAACGTTCAGCTTGGACAAGAGGAAACGAAAGCGATCAGCACCCAGGCCTTTGGTGAAGATGTCTGCTAGCTGTAAGTGAGTACCAACCTTGAGAGGAAGGATATCGCCTGACTGAACACGTTCACGGACAAAATAACAATCCATCTCCACATGCTTGGTGCGTTCGTGGAAGACAGGATTAGCAGCGATGTGCAGTGCAGCCTGGTTGTCGCAATATAGGGGAGTGGAACGCTCTTGAGGCACACCAAGTTCAGAGAGCAACCATCGCAGCCAGATGACTTCACTCACTGTGCTAGCCATTGCACGATACTCTGCTTCAGCCGATGAACGGTCTACGACCTTTTGTTTCTTCGTTCGCCAAGAGATGGGGGCTCCACCCAAAGTGATAAAATAGCCGGAGCGACGTGTGTGCTCACAGCCTGCCCAATCAGCATCACAGTAGGCAGTTAGAGAAAGATCATTTTGGCGAGGGAAGAACAAACCTTGGCCCGGGGAGGTCTTGAGGTATCGTAAGACCCGAGTCGCGGCGTCCATATGGAGTTGACTAGGAGCATTGACAAACTGGCTCAGAATGTTGACCGCATACGTAATATCGGGACGGGTGACTGTGAGGTAGAGCAGCCTCCCAACAAGACGTCTATAAGGCGCGGGATCAGCTAGCAGATCATCGGTAGAGGAAGGTCGAGTCAAGTGATGATTCTGCTCAACTGGAAAAGCACTGGGACGTGCGCCTTCAACTCCGGCATCTTCAAGGATGTCGAGAGTGTACTTGCGCTGACAGAGAACGACCCCGTCTCGTGTACGCGCAAACTCCATACCCAAAAAATACCGAAGATCGCCAAGATCTTTGATGCTGAACTGAGTATCCATAGCTCGTTTGACCTTGTTGATGAAGGACAGGTCATTACCAGTTAAGATTACATCGTCGACATAGATGAGTGCGGCCACAAAAGTGCTCCCCCGCCGAAAAATAAACAATGAATGGTCGGCCGGAGAAGAACGGAAACCAAGGGCACAGAGAGCAGTAGTGAACTTTTGATACCAATTCCTCGAGGCCTGACGGAGTCCGTAGATGGACTTATGGAGACGACAGACACGATTGTCACCGGGAGTAGAAAAACCGGGGGGAATCTGCATGTAAACCTCCTCATCGAGATCACCGTGGAGGAATGCATTGTTGACGTCAAGTTGATGGAGATGCCAACCTCGACTAACAGCAACCGCAAGAAGGCACCGAACCGTGACAAGTTTGGCGACAGGTGCGAACGTGTCGTGAAAGTCAATGCCCTCGATCTGTGTGTACCCTTTCGCCACCAAGCGGGCCTTGTAGCGTTCGATGGTACCATCGGGTCGGTATTTTATTTTGAATACCCACTTGGCCGCGATGGTCCTCTTGCCCAAGGGAAGGTGAACGAGACTCCAAGTCCCATTTTGTTGAAGAGCTCGGATTTCTTCGGCCATGGCGGCTCGCCAACGGGGATCAGCAAATGCCTCTTTGAACGAACGAGGCTCATCGTGCCTAGTGACTGCAGCAAGAAAAGACATATAAGTGGGCTTGAAATTCTCATAAGAGACAGAAGCTGAGAGAGGGTAAAGGGCATTGGCTGTGGGACTTCCCTGGGTCTCGGCATCCTGGAGGGGAGCAAATTGGGTTTCATATATCCCAAGATGCTTTGGGCGGACGCGCACTCGGTCACCGCGACGGGGTATTGGAGGATTCACGACGTCGAGGGTAATCGCCGGCGGTGAGGAGGAATCCAGCGTGGATGGACCTGCCGACGCAGATGGGCCTGGTGACGACCCAACATTTAGTGTCTCCGGTCGTGGGCTGACGGGGGAAGTGAGTTTCGGTGACTGGGCAACTGACTCGGATGGGCCTGTTTGCTCCACGGAAAAGGGCCCAGATGGTGATGATGGAGTGGCGTCAAGGTCTGCCACCAACTCATCATCGGGATCCGGGTCTAGATGGACGAACACAGGTCGGGGCACCCAGTGATGGCGTTGCAAAGTGGCTTCTCGAAAGGGATATTGATCTTCATGAAAACGCACGTCACGTGAGGTGAAAATTTTATGAGTGATAAGATCATAAAACCTGTATCCCTTTTGACTTGAGGCATAACTGATAAATACACAAGCTCATCCTCGTTCAGCAAACTTATCGAGGGAAGCATGAGTATCCTTAGTATATGCTAAGCAGCCAAAAACTCGAAGATGAGTGTAAGGAGCAGGTTTCTCGAACAAGACTTCAAAAGGCGTACGTCCGGTAGCGGTGGTAGGCAACCTGTTAATCAAATATGCTGCCGTTAGTATACATTCTCCCCAAAACTGAATGGGAAGAGCAGCTTGAAAGCGCAATGCGCGAGCTGTATCTAGCAGGTGTCTGTGCTTCCTCTCGACGACACCGTTTTGATGGGGCGTGTCAGTGCAGGTAGTCTGTAACTGAATCCCTTCACTCTCATAATAGGCCTGTAGTGCTAGAGTATTGAATTCATGCCCATTATCAGCCTGAATTCTCTTAAGACGCCGACCAAACTGACGTCGAACCAACTGATCAAACATCATCAAATAGCGTCCAACTTCTGATTTGAAACGCAGCAAGTAAACCCATACACCACGACTGTAATCATCAACGATGGTTAGAAAATAGTGTGCACCACTAGTGGATGCAGTTTTTTATCCTCCCCAGATATCAATATGAATTAAATCAAAACATTGCTGCGTTCGAATCATACTAGTAGGAAAAGGTAGTCGAGTTTGTTTAGCTCTAGAACATGAATCACATAACTTATTTGAAATGGACGAAATATCAAGTCTAGCACTCAATTGCTGCAACTTTCCAGAGGACGGGTGTCCCAGCCTAGCATGCCACACCTCGTCTGATATCGCGCACCGCTTTGTAGCCGCACAAGCCTGAACATGTCCAACACCAAAGAGCTGCAAATAATAGAGACCATCCCGTAACTCACCCTTCCCAATCAACTTCTTGGAGAGTAAGTCCTGGATTACGCAAAAATCATCGAGAAATATTAAGGCCAACCGATTCTCTCGAGTAAAACGGCTTACCGAAATTAGGTTGCAGCGAAATTCAGGTACGTGGAGCACACGGTGAAGTGTGAGTCCTGGACACAATTCCACACTGCCCACATGTGCTACAGGTATACTATCACCGTTCGGTATTCTAACAGGCCGCCCATTTTCATGCGACACTTTGTTCGTTAGCATAGCATCATTCATAACGATGTGTTCATTGCATCCTGAATCTAGCAACCATTCAGTGCCCATAGAAAACATACCTGCCAAGTTCGCACTTGGATCGTCTGCGCTTTTGGCCGAGTAACCAAAAAATTGTTTGAGTTGTTCGAGTTGCGCGAGACTGAAACCAGCGACCGGGCTTCTAGCATCTTTCTCTTGTTCGACCTGGGCTGCCCGCGGCTCTCGATCACGATCACGTCCCGCCCCATCACGAGCTGGGCCTTGTTGGCGACGCTTTTGTTGCTGATCATCCACCTTGTCACGGGCCTCTCGCGGAGGATATCCATTCAGCGCATAGCAAACCTCTCGCGTATGCCCCAGATTTTGGCAATAGCCACAAAGAGATCTGTCTTTTGTCCCTCGCTGTCCTCCACGATCTCTCTCACCCCGTGCCGCAAAAGCTGCGGCTTCAGATGATGGGCGACGACTTTGTGATATCAGCCGCTGCTGCTCCTCATTTAAGGTGATGTTGAAGGCTTCAGCAAGTGTAGGCGTGGGCTTCATGGCCAACACTTGAGTTCTCACCGTAGAGAACGCATCATCCAGGCCCATCAAGAAATCAAAGAGGCGGGCCTTCTCTTGTTGTTCCCGAACCCGAGCAGAGACACTGCAAATGCAGTGACCACAAGTGCAAATTGGAGGTGGCGAGATTGCTGCCGACTCCTCCCATAATGATCTCAGCTTGGTATAGAAAGCTGAAACCGTGTTCTTTTCTTGCTGAAGAAGACTAATCAGCCTACGAAGCTCATATCCACGAGACGCATTACCTTGGCCAAATCTACTGCGCAAATCTTCCCATATTTCACGAGAAGTCTCTGCAAACCGAACGCTGCTCCGGATTTCCTTGTTCATGGCCGTTTTCAACCACCCTTTGATCATGGCGTCACAACGGATCCAAGCTTGCAGCTGCTCTCCTGTCTTCGGCTTAGGTAGAGTCCCATCTACAAAAGCATACTTATTTTTCGCAAGAAGCGAGTCCTTCATGTCAATAACCCACTCACCATAATTTGAAGAGGTGAGAACATCGCCGACCAGCATCTGGCCTGGACCATCTGAATTGTGAAGAAGATAAACCGGCGGGAGATTGTGACTTCCCTCTTCCGGTTTTGCGCCGCTGCCACTGTCGACTTCTTCTCCACTCATCTGGACTTGAGGTTACCTGAAACCTAATGCTCTGATACCATGAGAAATATGCTAATAGCGATCGGAAAGAATAAGAACGTGACAACGATGTACGTGGTATCCCCGACGAGTCGGGACTAGTCCACGGGAGAGTTGTAAGCTCTCCGGCTACTGATTTTATTAAGCTGTGGTTGTGTTCGGCAGAAGCCGAGAACAATGAATATTTATACCCTTTTCACAAGCATCTAGGGTTTTAGTGTTCCTTTCATTCTCCATATTCATTACGTAAACCATGCCCACAAAGGAAGACACGACAGGGGCTGCATGAGAATGCGTGGGCCGATCCGTGGGCTTCGTAGGAACGGTCATGGACTGCGAAGTACTCACGTCCAATAGGATGAGATTAGGTGCTAACCCTTATAAGGGTTAGCACCGTGATAACTAGCAAAAAATGCTACTAAAAAAACGAAATCACTACGGATTATTATAAAATCCATACAACATCTAAGCTAAATCACTACTAATTCAAACTAGTAGTAGTTTTTCCCTTGGTTAGGACGGTGCTAACTATTGTACAATTAGCACCGTAACCGCTCCCTCATATAGTAGTAGTGGGAATATTTTTTTTTTTTGTCATAACAAATCCAATGATTTTTTCTTTGTCCTCCTTCCCACAACATATCGTTAGACCCATTACCAATTCCCCCGAAACTCAAAAGACATGTTATTTATTGTCCACCCTAACATAAGTACACAACAACACTACCACAACCCATCTGCAATTTCGACGATGAAAGAGATCATTTTTCTCAACCTCCCACCAAATTGAGAATCACCAAAACAATATCCAGGAGATTGGACAAGTACTTATTCCGTTCACCTAGTACCCCCCCTCTCGCCGGCCCCGCTGTCACCTCGTGATTACAAGCATCCGCATCCCTCTGCGCAACTGTCGTCGAAGTAAATCCCGTATCATAATCTCCTGTCACGAAAGAATCTTTAGCGACGGAAATCGATCTGATGGCGTCCCCATACTTCTCCAAGCACGTCTTGTAGCTCTGCTTCACCTTGGGATCCGTCGTTTTCCGCCCCAGCACCAGTGCTCGGATGTACTTCTGAGTCTCTCTGGCTTTCTGATCGCTAACTGTGAGGGTGATCTTCCCTGCGCCGATGAAATTCGCCGCCCGAATGCCGGCGGTCGAATTCATGAAACGGAGGCAGAAACTACGGTCGACGGTTCGGTCACATATCCCGGAGATATAGGACGACGAGAGCTCTAGGTGGAAACTTGAGATGGAGGTTGGCATGCCGCCGCAGAAGAAGAAGAAGAAGATGAGTACAAGAAACGAGATTAAAGAATAAGAGCTTGGGAACAGCGTCGTCATCGTATATTTTGTTCGGTTAATTAGTCTTAGGTAATGATTTTGTGCATTGGGGGAGAAACTGAAGAGTTGGTCTTAATTATATGGTGAAATGTAATTTGGTTACAAGGAAAGGAATTGATGATTGGATTTTTTAGCCATTTGAACGTATATCTTGACTTGACTCTCTAAGCGTTAGATGATATTTTTTAGCCATTTGAACGTAAACATTAACGGCTCAAGATAGGGTGAGTAACCATTATTAACTAAATCTAGAACTTTTGATTTAAGTGGATTCAGAAAATTCAGATTTATAGATTGTGAATTAAAGACATTTCTTAAGACTTAATATATTTGTCTCGCCCGAACTTTTCTCATAATTAACATCCCGGCCAATTCTTTTGGTATTTAATATCGTGACCCGAACTAATCATACACTTTACTAATTTAGCCAAATTCGAGAGTTGATCGTTAGTTTTGACATTCAAAGCCATTGACTAACGGTCAACCCATCACATCACTGCACAGTCAGCATAAATAAACTTAAAATTTTTACATAATCCCTAAAAATTATTATAAAAATTAACAAAATTGAAAAATCAAAAATTATAATTATAATAATCCCTAAATCTTGTCCCATTTCTCATCCGAATTTCAGTCCCAACACTTTTCTTCTTCTTACTTCATGTACCAGTGAATTAAAACCTCAGCAGCTCTACTTGCCACCGTCCATTTTCATCTAGGTGGGCTTGGGGTTTATGCTGCTGGAGATGTCCTGCATTATGTTTTTTTGGCATCTCGTCTGCAGTCTGCTGGGTTACAGGCTAAGCTACTACGTCCTTCTAGCATTCTCTCTCTTGGCCCTGCTTTTGATGATGCCCTACGCACATTCAATGAGTTTACCGGTTCTGATCTCTTACGTGACCCTAGCAAAGTTGTTGCCAAAAACTTATGAAGAAATTGGCATACATATATTTCGCTAAGGTTGCTGCTACTTCAGATTATGTTTTCTCGTTGACTACACGTCAGGTTGCTCTGTGGAAGTCCCAGCAGTGTGCGCACTCTTCTGATTGGTTGCATGTTGTTCCTATTGATGGGTTGGGTCAGACTATGAATGGAAGGACATATCGTAGTGTGCTTAGTTATCGACTGGGTGTCCCGTTATTTTTGGTATCTAGGTCCTGTTCTGCTTGTTCTCGTGTCTTTGATGGGGATGTCTTTGGGGATCATGTTGTGTCCTGTGCTGGTATTGTGGGCATTAAGCATCGGCATAACCTCGTTCGAGACACCTTACTGGACATCTGTTACAAGTCTGGGATTTTTGTCGGAAATGAGGTTGATATCAGTTTGGTTGATGGGCATGTCGGACCCCTTCGTCCTGCGGATTTGCTGCTTTATTCCTGGGATAGGGGGCTAGATGTGTGTATTGATCTGACTGGGTCTTCACCTTTGTCTCAGACTGGGATGGTCGATTTTGTGCCGGGCCAGGTTGTTGATGTTTTGCTCGGCGTAAGTGTGCTATGTATCGGGATTTGTGCATGGTGGCTGGTTACGGTTCTTTCCCTTTTCTTTCTCTTCGCTGGGGGAGTTGGATAGGGATGTTGTGGCTTTGATTAAGTGCATCCAGAAATTGTCTGTGTCTCAGGATGCGGGGGTTCGAATGGCCTCGTACATTTTCACTAGACTTAGCTTTGCTGTCGCTAAGGGAGTGGATGCACAGATTGTATCTAGTTTGCCCACTCATCTCCCGTAGACCTTCTCAATTTGTTATTACACATTATAAATCAAAAGAATAACCAAACTAGCATATAGGAATTATAACCTTAGCGAATTGCTTGTTGTCTCTACTGCCGCCTTTCTCCAGATACTGTTGATGGTATTCTTCCCCCTGTAGAATCTCTTTGCCAGCAGAATCTCCGTCACGACCTTTTTATCCTTCAATTCCAACTGCTTGGCCTGTTTCGATTCCTGAGCAACCCGAGCCTAATTCTCGCTGTAGTAGTAGATCCCGGATCTCTACTAGGTGGCGGCATCATTCCCCTCGCGATTGATGGTAGACGGGTCAACCCGGCTCCAGAAAAGAGATAGAGGAGATTAGTGTCACTGTGTCAGGGCAGAATTCTGGGTCGAATTAAACCCTCACCACCTCGATGTTGTTGGCGGTTTCGTTGCAGACGGTAGTGGCGGACCCAGGATTCTTTGATAGGTGTGTCGGCCGACAAAAAAAATTTAATAAATTAAATGTATTAATAAAAAATAAAATAATTTTTTAATTTGTTAAGTTCGCAATTTATTATTTTTCACAGTGACACACACCAACTTTTCATATTCAAAAAGGTTTGTAAAATATATTTGTCGCTTATGGTGTGATCAAACTTTTTTCGACATACAAAACTAAAAATTCATTAATAAAACTGATTTTAAAGTTCGCTATTGATTAACTCAATAGCATAAAATGGAAAGCAGAAAGGCTGGCGACAGGCGTTAAGGTAAAAGTTTGAAAGAGGATGAGGTTCCACCGGCAGGTGATCGCAATTAGAGAGTTGAGCGGAGGATAGAGAACTGTGTGCCATGGGTTGTGGATTTTTTCCTCTCGACATTTTCACTCAAAAATTAAATAAATAATATATATTTATGTATTTTGGTACCCATATGACATCAAAATCAATGTAGTGTATTAAAGGTGTGTCGATTGCAATTATGTGAGGTGTGTCGGAAATCCCGAATTCAAGTTTTTTGTACCAACGAAACGTGGATCTCTCACAAAATTTCCAAGCCAAGGTGTGTCGGTTGACACATCTTGCTAATGCATGGGTCCGCCCTTGGCAGACGGCTCTATAGGCGGTAGGGCTGCAAACGAGCCGAGTCGAGTTTTACTTAGATTGAGCTTGAGCTTGGCTCGTTTATAAATTTTCTAGCTCGAGCTCGACTCGAAAAAGCTCGATAAATGCTCGATAAAAGCTCAAGCTTAGTACATGCTCGGGTCAAAATGAGCTCGATTTGAAATCATTCTTGCTGAAAAATGTGTACCCGTAAGAACGAGCCGAGTGTCCAACGAGTTTTTTCCGATTCGAACAGCGAGTTGCTCGCGAGTGGCTTGGCTCATTTGCAGCCCTAGTAGCCGGGATAAGGGAGGTCATTCTGAGAGTAGCTAATAGCCAACGAACACTAAAAGATTGAATGCAACGGCTACCTAGCCTTTTGAACGATGATTGAAGAAGAAGAAGAAGAAGAGAGTTACGTTGCCGTTTGGATCTTTTGAACAACGATTGAAGAAGAAGAGAACTACTCCATATCTAGGCTAGGGATTACAACAAAAAGGAGAGAAAGAACCATGGTGGGATGTTTGTCTTCCTTCCTTGTTGTTGAAATCACCCTTGAGAGATAAAAATCTTCACTCCTCTTTTGAGCAAACCCTAATCCTCTTCTTCTTTCTTTCTCGTCAGTTTCTCTCTCTAGTTTCATAAGAAGAAGACATTTCTCTCACAATTATTCCAACTCGCTAGTAAGCGGGTGGGTCAATTTAATTGAAATGAAAACTCACCCAACCCGCCCATTGCCCACCCCTACCCCTAGGAAATCCACTGCACCATCAGTTCGACCTAATGAATGGCAAATGGCCCAGTCTAATTGGACTTCAACTTTCTAGGGAAAAGCTGTTCTCTTTTGTATCGTCATTACTTAAAAAAAAAAGGATTATATATGTGACGAGAAATCAGGACTTTCAAAGTAAAAAACGAGGAAATGAAATATTAAGGGTAATGAATATTTATTAGTCAAAACCTTTTTTGAATTCTTTTTTATTAGTTAAACTTATTGAAATGCTATTAATTACGCAAATGTTAACTCTTCGTTAGCTTTTTCTTTTGATGATGGTGAGCTTTCAGACGTGACGCTGAGTTGGAAGGAATATTATGACGTGGCAATTAAAAATTGCCACATCAGTGGGTCAATGATTGATAATCTTTTCCGCATTCATTTTTACTAGCCAAACCTATTGAATTACTAATTTTAAATGTTAACTTTCAGTTAGCAATTTTGTTAGGAATAATGACTTGGCAACATGATACTGATTTGAAAGAGACACATGGAGATGGAGGTTAATATTCCACAATTTTAGTATTTAATTAAGAAAAGAATTACAAAATTATTAATAACGTAAAAATGGCTAAATTTTTGATTCATTGCAAAAGATTTGGCCAATTATTAATAATTCAATAGTTTTGGCTAATAAAAAAGAATGCGAGAAAGATTTGGCTAATAATTAGTGCTTACCCATTTTTATTTTATTTATTGATGAGGTGGCAACGGAGTTGGACGCTGTGGTGGAGCATCGTTAAGAAAATAGTTGACGGTAACAGACTAATAGCTATTACTTTAACGTTTTACAAAGACATGGAAAATATATAAATAACCAATTAGGGTATAGTTTGGAGCCAAGACATGGAAATTAGTATATTGGATATCTCTTATTTGCTTTTACAAAAACAAAAAATGGTAAGTATTAGTATGTATTAGTTGTATTGTTGCATTGCATGTTGTTAATTGGGCAACCATTGTGTGACATTCAAAATATTTTGTTTGTCATGTTTTCATATTTTATTGGATTATATTTATCCGCAATCTTACTTTTTAGTTTTTTTTCCGTAGTATGCATACCTGAATATTTTTTACATTGCTCACGAGCACCCTTATCTTTGAGGTGGTAGATTTTTCTCATATGTGAATGAGATTCTCACTATTGAAGAGAGTATTTAACACGAAAACCATAATTTTATTTGATCTAACAACTCAATAAAGGAGTTGGTCTCCGATCATGTTTCTGAACAGTGACTCGCATGGATTCCAAGACAATACTATTCTTCAGCTTGCTATAATAATTATCGACTAAGAAAAACAAACTAATATTTTCACCGATGACCACACGAGTTTTCACTCTATGATTCAAATTTGGAAATATTAAATATTGTTACTTTTCTGAGGATAATGGTATTTGGCTGCAAATACTCAAACACGTGATTAAGGATTGACATTCATTGTTTCGAGAGCACATAGTATATGCCTTTGAGAGCTTCAAACTGAGTCTACCAACAACAAATTACATGCCAATTTCAAACAAATTGATTAACAAGATGAAATCTAAAATATTGCTTTGGATGTAACGAGGAGGAGAAGAAGAAAGAAATAATGATGGTGGAGATAGGTTTCATTAATAAAGATAAATGTGATGTTATTGCTTGAAGTGATAATGTTGATGATGGAGCAATCGAAAAGAAGTAAAAAAA